TGGTCCCCATTGACTTCCATAATATTTTTTTCCATAGTATGGAAGTTCCACACAAGAAAGAAACTTTGGAACAACATAAGGGTGTAAATGGGTGAACTATACCTTTAAGCCCCAAGTTATAATCTGACAAGTTCAGTGTTTTAAATTGGTTCCAAAATGAAATCACAGTGGTTACTTAAGACAAGATATTACTCTGACTGAAGTTGTTTCTGCAATACAGCCTCAGGAAACCATTCCAGGTCATAATTTCAAGTCCTCCCTCAGTGTCATATATTATTAACTAATATTCAGGGCAATTTGTACTTACCTCAGACTTGTCAGCAGCTTAATATCCTTTTATCTTAGCTCCATATCCTTTATATCTTTAAACATACAATGCTTTAATAGTACAATAATACAAATGCAATAAATTAAACTGTGCAATACTCAAATCTATATTTTCTACTGTTTAGTTTCATAAGTAGAGTATATGTACAAGTAATCTTAATTTTTAAGATTTCACATACGCTTTTATTTCTTTTCTTAAATGTGAGCAATGGTGACATGACCAAATTTAAACCTGGGATCAATAAATTATATCTATTATGCAATTTATTTTCCACATTCACAGTGTCATTACATGGACATTTATCAACTTTATCATAGAAGGCTTTAATAAAATAAAGCTAACAGACATAGGCGTCGATTTCGGGGATGCGGTGATTTCGTACCACCAGATTTCGTCATGAGTCATTTTGCACCCACCACTTTTAACTCCCGTCCATATTAATTTGACTTTTGGTTCGATTTTTTGGACCGTTTTCAGTGGTTATGAGGAGCAATATGAGAGAGAAATTTGGCAATCATTGTCTGACCCAGCAAAAAAAACAACACTATAATACATTTTTTATTGATTTTTCTGTTCGCATTTATGAGGGAAAAAACAACGTGTCAGTTCTCGTTTACGGACGTGAGCGTTCTGAAAGCGGCACTAAAAGACTTCTTTAAAACTTTCACAGAGACCTCAAACAGAACAGCTGCCTTTCTTTACATTTATTTTCGTTTTATATTAATTATATCTTAATTTTAATCAATGTTTCATGAACCAATTGTCTGGATTTATTTAATAAATAAGAAGTAAATATAGCAGAATCACGACATGGAGGCGCCGGCGAGTGAATTGGAGTTCGTCTCATAAATTAACCGAAACTCGGCGTATAATGCACATTCACATTCACAGCGTATTAGACGCATTTATTATCATTACTTTTACCGGTTCTTTGTGGCAAGCTTTATGCGTGCGGTCGTGCGCTTGAGCACAAATTATGAGCTTTTGGCAATTTTTTTTTTATAATTATTGACAAAATTAGAATATAGTAAAAGGATTTTTTTGTGTGTGTGAAAGTTTTGGGTGGGCCTGTTGAAAAGTGGTGCCTGAGCTACAGGACATCGTCTTTGAAAACATAACCTGCCCGAAAGAGAGAAAAAAAATTAATACGTCATTGTACCCAGCACTTCTGAAAATGCACTGAAAATGCACTTCCGAATGCGTCTCTGTCCCCAGCACATTTCAAACCAAACTGACGCCCATGATAACAAAGATAGATTTACAGGTGACACTGCAATGACTACCCTTTTAAATTGCTAATTTAACCCTTTACACTTTTTTTTTTTTTACATCAGCAGGGTTCACTTGGAATGCTCCGAATGCAATGGGCAAACACGGTCCTCAAGGGTCAATGCCCTCTGCCCTGCAGAGTTCAGCTTCATTTCATTTTTTCTAAATGTAATACATTTTCAGTGAAATCAATTCTGATTTAAAATAGTAATATGTTAACAAACTAACCCACAGTACCTTTTATCATGCAGATGATTTGTATGAATTTATGATCACAAGCTTGGATGTGTTCTGTCAGCTTGAGGAAGGTAAAGTAAGTGGGGAACTGAAAAAAAAAAAAACGAGTTGGCTTTATAGCAGTCTCATTTCAGTAAACTGCTGGTTAGGTATGAAATATGCCACATGGTGTCCGTAAGAGACTTGGTGAAAATATGTTGGAAATTTGAGAGTAACCTGTTTATTTGTCACCCCAACAACTCAGTTATTAACAAGGATTGAATGGTTGTACTTAGTTGTGGGTGTATTAGTGTGTGGTTTTCTATAGAAACAGAAAATGCAGAGTAAATATTCTAACATTAAATATTAGAGACAACACACTGACAACATACATTATTATACTTCATCTCATTAAACAACAAATTAAACCCCATGTAGCCTACTATTTAAATCGATTGCTGGACGTCGTAATGTTATTGTAGCATAAATCTGATTTAGCATTTTATTAGCAACCCCCACCCCACCTGTTCCACCCACTTTTTAAAACAAAGTTACGTCACTGATTTTTATGTTTATATGTTTACTTAAATGTTATATGGTGTTTTACCAAAGTGTCTAATCATTTTTACAGATAAATTGCTTTAATACCAATTACCAAGGTGACCTGTAAAATACTTCTGCTGTCAGGAAAGCCAAATCAAGTTCTTATACCTGTCCTGACCTGAGCACAAGCTCTCATTCTAATCCTGAAAGCCTTAAATAACATATTTAAATACTTTAAGTCATTAAATTCCTTTAAATTGATAATATCACCTGTATACCTAATTACAGTTTGTCTGAGTGCCCAATTTCAGAACAAAAAGGTTTGAAAAAGCGCCCCCTGCTTGCTATAGCTGTAAATGTAAGCACAACAAAAGCTCACGTTGTTTTCCAAAGACAGATATTGATTACAGTGGTCTGTATCTTAAACCTGCAGTGATCATAAACCTGCATTGGTTACCTCCACTGTAACTGATTTCCCCACACACGTTAATGCTTTGATGTTAAAGCTAGAATGTCCACTAATGTGTTTATTTACAAAAAGGCATGAGTGGAGAAAAACAAGTTAATTTTATTTTTATCTAAATTGTCATAAAATTAATTGTCATAAAAAAAATTAATTGTCATAAAACTGCTATTTAAATATATTATTCATATAGGTTATACAAAAAACCTGAATAAGCTGATCTATAGAATGTAAACTGGTGGTAGCCTAGTCTATGAAAGGTACACCCCTCTAAGCTCACACAAATGGTTAGACCCAAGTCTTCAGCAGCCAATGACACGGACCCGTTCATACTGATTTTTAACGCGTATTTCACGCGTATTTTACGTGTAAAATACACGTGAAATACGCGTATTTTACACGTGAAATACGCGTTGATTATGTCACGCGTATTTCACGCGTATTTTACGTGTATTTTACACGTGAAATACGCGTGACATAATCAACGCGTATTTCACGCGTAAAATACACGTATTTTACGCGTGAAATACGCGTGAAATACGCGTTAAAATTCGCGTGTTTTTGGCCCTAACGGCTTTCCATACACGACCGCCCACACCGCAATGACGTCATTTTTGCCGCGCGCACCTTCGCGCTCTTGCGGACGCGTCGAGTATAAACAAGGCTTTACGGTATGTTTCGGAGCGCGCGCTGCATTGGGAACAGCATCTCTTGTGCAGATTTTTGTGCTTTTAATAGCTCTTTTTATTATTAAACGCGTCCCGCGATTTAGAATCAGTAGAGACTGCATTTTACAACAATCACCGATCGTGCTGATTCTGTCTTAAAGTTTGAGCTTTAAGGAAAAATGACAGCGTAGGCTAGGCCTACTTCTGCGAATGGAAGAAAGTTGCGCTAGACAGAATGCGGCTGTAGTTTTTAATGGTTTTACCTCAAATATTCTATAATCTTTGGAAGCCGAAATCTAAAATAAAATCAGACTAATATCACAGATCTAAAGTGTAACCAGGCTACGTTCGAATGTTTAGTTCTGTCCTCCGTCGTCATTCATTAAGCAGAGCTGTCGTGTTGTGCGCGCTGTGGCGCGCGTGAGAGATCTCTCTCTCTTCTGAACTGCGAATAGCAAAAATGCATCACAGACAAATGGTTTAATTTTATTAGATAGGCTATAGAAATGACTGGCGACTTATCGAGATGGTAAAAAAAAAAAAAAACTTCTTTATAGCAATAATAAATGATAGGCCTATGTGTATTTCTCCAGTACCGACAGCAGAACAGATAACGTCCGAGCTTATCGATATAGCGGTCTTTCAAAATTCAGCCCCGGGGCCCGTATAATACCAGGTTTCGGTACCCATCCCTACCAGGTGTAGGCTACTGTGTTTTCCAAGACACTAGGGAGGGATGTCCTCTTTCTCGTATCAGCCTCGTAGTTCTTTGACATTTTAACACGTTATAAATAACCTGAAGTAACATTGACACTCTTCGCGCCACTGTGTATGACGTTTGCTGTTTGTTTTGCTGATGGCCAGTCACTGGCCCGCGCGGGCCAGTGATTGGCCAATCAACTAGCCCGACATACACTTTTACTGGCCCCGGGCCATCGGGCCATTGCTTATGTCGAGCCCTGCAGGCAGTGAAAGGTGGATTTGCAGTTATCATTTTGTCAATATATTGAATTTGGGGGTAAAATCATACCCTATATATTGTATTGACAACATCAATTAAATATTTACCATCGTATATTCTGCATAATTGGATGCTTTTAAATTAACACTGACAAAAAACTATACAAGTTTTAGAGCTGGATGATATGATGATATATATATAACATTGATATAAGTGATCACCTGGATTAAGACCTACCTATGTTGTATTTATATAAAGCGTTCACAGGCAAATTCGCTTAATGTATTTCCCCGGTGTCGAAATCAGGCACATATAAATGTCAGGAAACACGATTCCTGGCTGCATATCAATATCCATGGATCACTGGATCTTTGGTAAGTTGTAAGGAACACTATATCGAGTCCAACCATTAGTTTAACCTGATAAACGCTCGTTTTACATGCCTATTCGCAGTTTCCCCTATTAAATCCTGTCACGCAGCAGCTCTTTTGCCACTCAGTCCGGCTGAGAAAGTGACGTCAACGCATCCCCTCTATATAGAAAAGAACTTACATCATCAGCGAGCACCTCCAGCTCATACTCATGGATGCCTCCTCCCCCGTACACACAGAAACCCACCAGCACCACCCCTGGCTTGTCCACAGTGAAGCAGATGGCGTCGGGGGAGCCGTTCCCCGTGTTCCAGCTGCGTCCCTGGCTGGTCTTAGTGAAGCGGTTGGGGCTGGCCTTCACCGAGTGCAGGGAGTTCAGCCCGTCCACCTGCACAACAACAGTCCACACGTTTCAAAAGTGTAGATAAGAATTTACATTTAGTTTAGAGGCATTCTTACATGTTAAATTTGCTTTGGAGTCGCAGCACATTAAATGGATAGTTCATCTGTAAATAAAAATGTGACATTTTTGGCTCAACTATCCTTTGAAGAAGAACTCTCTCATGTTCTTCCAGCAGGTGGCAGTAGGCCAGATGAGACTAACTGAGAGAGGATGTTTTTGTTTTTGAACAGGAGCTGAGCCTCCATGACAACCAACACCTAAAACCCTGCTCTCCCTGTGCTATTACAAACAACAGAGACTGGATGCCATTTTTGATACTGTATTAGCCAGCCTACGATTTATATTCCACCTTTGGTAACGAACAGCGTTTAAGAGCAGCAAAGCATCTGTAACAGTCTGCATAACATACTCTAACCGAGCATGACATGCCAGTTACCATGGCAACGAGCCAATGGCCTTTTCCAAAGCCGTCGGAGAGAGACGGACTGCAGTAGACTGTTGTGGTCCTGTGGAGGACACACCTGTTCTCATGACTCAGCTTCCTACTACAACAATCCCGCATGAGCAGGCCAGATGGAATCTGTGCCCTTTTCATTTTTACGATAATTATGGGAAATAAATCTACAGGATTCAATGCTTTTAATCATGGTAAAATGTTAAAACAGTTCAACGTGTTAGACAGTTGGAGTAGCACACTCTTATTGATCAGATTACAAAATATGTAATAAAAAAAGTATAGGTAAAAAAAGTATAGGTACTTCAGTTAATCCTCAGTAAATTCAATTGAAAATGAGTATACCATGATTATAACATGCCAAATCATATATTAATCATATATTAACATTCTATATTTCAGTTTTTTTATATTTGAAAAAATATGTAAAATATTTTATAATTACATATGAAATTTAAATAAAAATTGTCACACACACACAACCATACATAATACGACGTGAAGTAAAATGCTTTTTTTTTACTCTCCACACATAAATAAAAACAGTCAGAATAGAAATTAATTATATAGATTAACAAATTAGAAATATCCTGTTTTAGGGCCCAAACAGCCTGGGAGAAGAAGCTTAAATATATTAATAAACATATATATATATATATATATATATACATATACATACATATACAGTGAGGAAAATAAGTATTTGAACACCCTGCTATTTTGCAAGTTCTCCCACTTAGAAATCATGGAGGGGTCTGAAATTGTCATCGTAGGTGCATGTCCACTGTGAGAGAAAAAAAAAAATCCAGAAATCACAATGTATGATTTTTTAACTATTTATTTGTATGATACAGCTGCAAATAAGTATTTGAACAGCAGAGAAAACCAGTATCAACTATTTGGTACAGTAGCCTTTGTTTACAATTACAGAGGTCAAACGTTTCCTGTAGTTTTTCACCAGGTTTGCACACACTGCAGGAGGGATTTTGGCCCACTCCTCCACACAGATCTCCCCTAGATCAGTCAGGTTTCTGGGCTGTCGCTGAGAAACACGGAGTTTGAGCTCCCTCCAAAGATTCTCTATTGGGTTTAGGTCTGGAGACTGGCTAGGCCACGCCAGAACCTTGATCTGCTTCTTACAGAGCCACTCCTTGGTTATCCTGGCTGTGTGCTTCGGGTCATTGTCATGTTGGAAGACCCAGCCTCGACCCATCTTCAATGCTCTAACTGAGGGAAGGAGGTTGTTCCCCAAAATCTCACAATACATGGCCCCGGTCATCCTCTCCTTAATACAGTGCAGTCGCCCTGTCCCATGTGCAGAAAAACACCCCCAAAGCATGATGCTACCACCCCCATGCTTCACAGTAGGGATGGTGTTCTTGGGATGGTACTCATCATTCTTCTTCCTCCAAACACGGCGAGTGGAATTATGACCAAAAAGTTCTATTTTGGTCTCATCTGACCACATGACTTTCTCCCATGACTCCTCTGGATCATCCAAATGGTCATTGTCAAACTTAAGACGGGCCTTGACATGTGCTGGTTTAAGCAGGGGAACCTTCCGTGCCATGCATGATTTCAAACCATGACGTCTTAGTGTATTACCAACAGTAACCTTGGAAACGGTGGTCCCAGCTCTTTTCAGGTCATTGACCAGCTCCTCCCGTGTAGTTCTGGGCTGATTTCTCACCTTTCTTAGGATCATTGAGACCCCACGAGGTGAGATCTTGCATGGAGCCCCAGTCCGAGGGAGATTGACAGTCATGTTTAGCGTCTTCCATTTTCTAATGATTGCTCCAACAGTGGACCTTTTTTCACCAAGCTGCTTGGCAATTTCCCCGTAGCCCTTTCCAGCCTTGTGGAGGTGTACAATTTTGTCTCTAGTGTCTTTGGACAGCTCTTTGGTCTTGGCCATGTTAGTAGTTGGATTCTTACTGATTGTATGGGGTGGACAGGTGTCTTTATGCAGCTAACGACCTCAAACAGGTGCATCTAATTTAGGATAATAAATGGAGTGGAGGTGGACATTTTAAAGGCAGACTAACAGGTCTTTGAGGGTCAGAATTCTAGCTGATAGACAGGTGTTCAAATACTTATTTGCAGCTGTATCATACAAATAAATAGTTAAAAAAATCATATATTGTGATTTTTTTTTAGATTATGTCTCTCACAGTGGACATGCACCTACGATGACAATTTCAGACCCCTCCATGATTTCTAAGTGGGAGAACTTGCAAAATAGCAGGGTGTTCAAATACTTATTTTCCTCACTGTATATATATGTGTGTGTGTGTGTGTGTGTGTGTGTGTGTGTGTGTGTGTGTGTGTGTGTGTGTGTGTGTGTGTGTGTGTGTGTGTGTGTGTGTGTGTGTGTGTGTGTGTGTGTGTGTGTGTGTGTGTGTGTGTGTTTGTGTTTATATACAGGGCTTGACATTAACTTTTTTGCTCTCCAGTCGCTGTGGCTAGTGGTTTTCCAAAGTTACTGGCCATAATTATTACATCGATACCACAGGGGAAAACTGCCATATAGATATTTTTAATACCGGTACTATCTCATAATTTGGCAGTTGGTATATTAGGCTGCTGTCACTTTAAGACCTGATGCACGGATCCATTATACTGTTTTATCTAGCCATGTGAACACAATTTGGGTGTCAACACAAAAAAGTATGCTCAATACGCGCAATCTGACGCCGAAATTCAAGCCCTGTAACACAAACAATATTCATCAGGAGCAAATGAAACGAGTGAGTAAAGGTTTGTGTGTCAACTCGCCGTCGGAGAGATTAGAGAGCGAGAATGCGCTGTTATTGTGTTTCCTGCAGAAGAGTTTCAGATATTCTAGTTTCGATATGTATCAATGTTTATATATATATATATATATATATATATATATATATATAATTTTACCTTATACATATTTATTTAATATAAACCATTTGAAAAAAAGGACAGGGATCTTTTGAACTTTCAGAATAACAGACGTGTGAGCTTTCTGTGGAGCTGTACGGATACAGATACAGATACATGAACATGAAGATGAAGATAGAATTTTTCCTACACCATCTAAATGCTATTTATGGCGAGGCGGTGGCTGTAATGCAATTAGAGCAGCAGGCGAATGCTTGCAGACAAAGAGACGAGGAAAAGAGTGTGTTTATGTGAGGAAGAGAGGAATGAGAGAGAAGTAGGAGATCTGTCCTTCTAACCTCAGAGCCGAGAGCAGAGGCGGTGAGCTCACTGACAATACTGGCCAGCAGGCCACAGGTGTTGGACACCAGATGAGGAGAAAAGAGCTCAACCTCCTTCCTCAGACTCTTCCTCACAGGAAGCACCACAATGACCAGCATCTTCTCCAGAACCTCCCGGAAAGACGCCATGCCCATGAGATTCTCTTCCGTCTGATCAAAACACGACAAAATGAGACAAGAACATTAATACAATGTTTTAAATGATTATGCATGTTTGACCAGATGATGGTACTCACGTGGCTGAGTTTCTCCATGTGTGCCACCAGCAGGGGGAAGCGGTGAGCGAGGGCAGAGTCGTTCTCAGTGCTGACCTGCTTGACGAGGGAGCGCAGCAACACCTCCCCGTCGTACGCGATGGGCAAGATGGAGGTCAGCTTGACCGACGTGTTACACAGCGCTGACATCACCGCAGCCAGCAGACGGCTGCTCGACGTGCGGAAGTTCGCCTCTTGAATGTCCTGGAGGTCGACATGAAGGTCAATGTTATTAGTAGAGACTTGCTGCAGTTAACCAAACTAGATGTCCGATACAAATCAAGTAACAACTATATTTCTCAGAAATTAAAAAAAAAAAATGTTGTGGAGGCTTTTTGTTTTCTGATTTAGAGTGTCACTGGAGGTATTTTAGAGCTCAGATTCATCAGGCCTAAATCTGTCAAGTGGCTGATTTGCAGAAAGAGCAGGGAACTGAAAGTGGTTCAGCTGAAAAGGCCTCTCAGGTGATTCTCACAAAAACGTATCTAGGTCACATTTCCCCCCAAAATTAAAAGAAACATACACACATGCATACACACACCCACGCATATGCATACACATATAATATATATATATTGGAAATGCAAAATTTTACATTTTCCCCCATATTAAACCCTTTCAGTCAAATTAACTAAAATATACAATACACAAAAATATTATAAAGAAATTATAAATATTGAAAAAGAAATAAAAATATAATAATGATGATGATACTAATAATAATTTGAATTGCTTTTATTACAAGTAGGCACATTTCCACCCAAATAGATCATTTAATTGACTTTTTTGTGTTCCACAATATTCTTGATGTTGATTATCATTAGATTTCCAATAGTGTACTACAATGACTGTAATATATTGTATTCCCAAGCATAAATTAAATTGAGTATGTCTTTAAAACATTAACAATGGTCCTAAAATTTCTTCCATTTGATGTTGAACGAAATTATGACCTGGAAATGTTCTTGACATCCATTTATGATTTATAGACTGGCCAAAATGAGACCACATTCTCCGTTTGCTGATAGTCCACCTAAAAATGCGAATTCTGGAATCATTTACTCACTTTCTTTCTTCAGCGAACCATAAAATAAGATATTTTGAAGAATGTTGATGCCCATACGGTTTTGGAAAACTGACGTCCACTGTATTTTTTTTCCATACAGTGGAAGTCACGGGAACCCGAAACTGATTAGTTACCAACATTCAACAAAATATCTTCTTTTGTGTTCCACAGAAGAAAGAAAGTCATACAGTTTTGGAACGACATGAGGGTCTATCCCTGTGGGCGGACAATCCCTTTAAGCACAACTTCAATCTAATGCTTGTGAATACCTGGTCCAGGCAGTTGAGCAGGTCGCAGAGGCAGGCCCACTGCAGGGCTGGCGTGGGGTAGAAGGAGTGAAAGCAGGCGGTGAAGGTGTTGTGGCACTCCTGCAGCACGGCCTCCAGCAGCGTGAGGGGCTGACTCAAATATCCCTGCGGGTCATTGTCCAGCTTGGTCAGGCAGTTATCCATCCCTTCTGACAGGATCTTCTTCAGGAGGCTTCGTGTCTTTCCTACACACTCCGCCAGCTTGCTGGACTCCTCCACAACAGCTTTGGTACTGGCTAGATAAGAGACACAAACAGGAAGTATAAGATACAATGTAGATGTGATGTTGTGTAAACAGCATGCTGTCAGTCAAAGGTCCTCAAGACTATTCCTTTGGCCCAAAGCTGTCTTCCTCTTCATTACATGTTCTTAAAGGACTAGTGTGACATGAGACCCTGCCAATCAATATAGATTACATCTGTAACTTACACTTGTGACATCGATAGTATGACTCAGCAAGAAGTGACAGCACAGGTTCAGTGTGTAACAATAAGAGCAGGTGACAAGGTCTACTAGTACAGTGTCAAGAGAGTCACAGCAGTTTTCAAAATCAATTTGAACAGGGATTAACACCTTTTTCCCCTAAGGAACATGTGCTCTTAAAGAAAAAATAAAGTGTCATCATTTACTCAGTCATATTGTTCCAAACCTCTATGAATTTCTTTCTTCTGTTGAACACAAAAGAAGATATTTTAAAGAATGTCGGTAACTAGAAAGTTGACGGCACCCATTGACTTCCATAGTATTTTTGTTCCTACTATGGAAGTCAATGGGTGCCGTCAACTGTCTGGTTATTAACATTCTTTAAAATATCTTCGTTTGTGTTCAACAGAATAAAGAAACTCATACAGGTTTGGAACAACTTAAGGGTGAGTAAGTACTGACAACATTTTTCGATAAAATTCATTGTTACAGTAAAATTCTCTTTAATAAAACCAACGATATTTACTAGCAAAATGGATTAATTAATTAGAACGCAAAACGAACAATTAGTTTTTAAATATCTCGGTTTCAAACTATTTAATAAATAAGTGTTTATTTATAGGCCTACTTTAAAGTGTGTAAACTTTATATTTGTAAAACACATATACTAGTAAAATCTATATATTGAATAATGTGTGTTATATAATGCTCTCTTTCCTTCCTGTGACAGAGCAGCCCAAACAGAAGCAACAAGAGTTTACTTTGAATTAAATTCCAGCTATACAGTTTGTGTAACCATTATTAATAATAATAACCCAGAAAAAAAAACCTTAAAGCATAATGCAGGACTTTTAATTATAAACAAGCCCGAAATATGCTAATATAAAATTTTTGTTCATTCAAAAGCAAGACTGAAGTTTAATATTCACATAAGGCTATTTCAAGGTTCCTGTTTTTCTATCCTCAAATATAAGACCTCTTAAAATGATAATTAAGATGTTTGTTATATAATTTATTGATAATTTTTCAGCCAATTTTCCGTTGATAGCTGACAAACAGCTAGTGGGCCGCCACTTTAACATCCTTTAAACAGCAGAGGAGATGTAATACCAGAAATGGGGAAGATCTCACAGATGTAGACACGCAACAGTCGCAGGCAGCAGGTGCCCACGAACCGCAGGCGCTCCAAGTCCAGAAGAGTAGCTGTGAACTGGAAACCCTTCAGTCCCCTCAGTTCCTCCACCCCCAACACCAGCGTGGTCCAGCTCCAGTGCAGGATACTCAGCAGAGACTCAAAACAGTCCTAAAACAAGAACAAACACACACTTGGAAAACTTGGAAATGAACCAAGGATCTGACCTTTTATTAACTTGGCTTGTTTGTTTGACTGTACCAAGCGGATAGACCACCAGGAAAAAAGCCCCAATAGTAAAGGGATTTCCTTAAAGAATAACACGCAATAAAAATACACTAAAGTATAAACCATTCCAAATTGGCTGCTGTTCATCTGTTCCTTGCCAATTTCTTATAAGACAAAAGCATATTTTATGAAAATAGAAGCTAGTAATGCTAACATCTCCTTGTCAGGAAATTGCAGGTCAAACTTTTGAAGCGGAGCATGAGCATATTTATGGGTCAATGACAAACAAGGATCCCAGCGATAGTGGAAACGAGATGTCTTTTTATAATCTAGTTTAAAAAGTGGCAAGTTGTTGTGTATTTATGTCCTTGCCATGACAAAAAAGGGCAAACAGTCTGACGATTTTTATTTTTACTCTCTGATTCATAGGGGTCCTCTATGAAAATATTTCCATTTTGCCTAAAAAGTGGCTTCCACAATTTTCAACTTGGCTTCAGAAAGTTGTGTCAAGTGTTGAAACAATCAAGTAAAACGTAATCAAATATTTTACATACAGCCTGTACTCTGTATGTAAATATGAATTACATTTAATCTATTTTTGAGGATAACATTAGCTCTGGAGGGGAAAAAAAACATTTAAGCTTCACATTTTTGGCCCATAAGCAATTAGTATGTATTTGCACACACATACCACAGACACGGTCCTGGCGAAAGAACGCTTGAGGATGTGAACAGGCTCACTGGTCTGCTGCTTTCCTTTGGATGTGTTACCATCATTAGAGGGCAACCTGGAAAAACAGAGCAAAACGGGTATGTGAATGAAATAATACACCTGATACATCAAAGTAACAGGCACAGAACTAAAATTTCTCATGTACCTGTACAGCAGTTGAGGTATTTGTCCAGCATTTACATCGGTACCGTTGTTTGATTTCTTTGAGCTCTTGAACTGAAACACCACACTGCAGGAGAGAGTTCATGATGATATGCCTTGCCTTCTAGTATTATAAATGTTAAAAGAATCACAGTAATAAGTGTGTTCGTACCCATCATCAGTGGTGATGGTTGCCTGGCCGTGGGAGCCGCAGTCACTGCTGGGTCCAGACACACGAGCCCACGCCACATACCACCAGCCCAACTGCAGCAGCACAGGCTCATCGAACATCATGGCGTACTTCTCCCTGCATATATAAAACAAACCATCATAAATAACCAGTATTTATGAGCAATTTTGCTCATTTTGTCTTGTAATCAACTGCTGTTTTTTAAATATTTTAGTCAATGTATGAAGACCTAGCAGAGATATAGTTCATCACATTAAAGGTACAGTAAGCGATTTCTGAGAAACACTGTTGGTATTTGAAATTAACCCAAACAAACACACCCCTCTCCCTTTATTGCTCCGCCTCCAAAATGCACGAACAAGCAATGCAGAAGTGGATGTCTCTTCATCATAGCTGAAGCGATGCAAAATGATGCTTCGCGAAAAGTAAGCAAATATGATGAACAAAACAAGGAAGAACAAACTGAGCATACAGTACAGAAGAGTGTATACAAGCAAGAGTTGGTTGTTCATCGCCAGCATCAGAAAATGCTTACTGCAACTTTTAGGCGCCATTCACATATAGCGCCTAAAAACGCGTAGAAAACGCTAGGCGCGCCGCGTTCTCGTTTTTCCCAAAGCGCTAGGGCGGTTGCGCTCCAGAGGCGTCTGTCGTTGCTAAGCAACCATCAGCTACGTGACCTACGGTGCGCTTGCGGCATTCTGAAAAGTTGAGATGTTTTTATCTTGATGCGGCGCAGACGCGCTTGGAAAAAACGAGCGCGTCGCACCGCGACCGCGTCGCTTCCATTATGAGCGCGCATACCGCGCGCCTACATTTGAAATAACGAACTTGAGCGCGCAAAAGACGCGATATGTGAACAGGCCCTAACTCATCATGACCAAAATATCGATCAAAGTACATCTACAGTATAATTTAAAACCTAGTCACTTTTTTGTGCAATGTTTAGCCTGAAAAGTGTGCATGGTTAATTTAAATAAATCTGTAATAAAATAAAATATAAATTAGATGAAAATGTGGAAGTTTAGGTTGCAATACTAAAAAGACAAACTAAAACTGAAATATATATTTTAAAAAAAGAAATAAAAAAAAACTGACAAGCATATTACTAAAATAAAAATGACTAAAACGTAAACAAAAATTAGGATGAAAATAATCATTAATACTATAATAGTATATAAATAAGACTAAAATAACACTTATAAATAGCATTTACTTTGGGACATACATAATGCCAGATATATCCTGCTCTCTAAATGCATTCTTGAAATAATGGAGTGATATTGTTTTGAATATAGGCATACCGAGCAGCACAGTCATACGCCAGAACATCTGTCTCGGCCAGTAGGTCTCCATCAGTTTCATGGTCTCCTCCATCTGGACCCAGCTCAAACAGCTGCAAACACAATCACAGCTTTCAATCACAAACCAAAACTCAGAAAACTCATGAGAATGAAGTGGGCTGATGGTCAAAACTAAGGAAACACTCAGAAAGCACCTGACCTTGATCTTTGCAGTGTACTCCCCTCTGCCTCCAAAAAGACCCAAACCCCCTAACAAGATGTCAGCATCGGCGCAGAAGCGGATGGCCTCCACTGAGTGGGCAGAGTAACCCCAGCCTCCTCCATGGCCTGAAAAAAAACCGGGTGTAAAAAACACAATCAATCAAATTTTTACCTTTCGTTTTAATTGAAAAATTCAAGTAAATCACTTAAATCGCTCATGATTGACTACTGGCTGTTATTCCACTCGAGCTGCTGTATGTGAATGCCCCTTAACAGTCTAAAATATTATTTAGAAATGTAACAGCTATAGATATATAGATGATTTTGGATGAACTCACTCTCAAAGCGGTTGACCACACTGTAGTCCTCTTTAGAGTAGACCTTCATCACAGCCTGAGTCTCTTCCTCAGCACTGGCCACTCCCATCTTCAGCTCCTGCATCGCAGCCAGTGTGTCCAGACAACCTGCACAGAACAAAAAACAACAACTGACACACTACAACTACAAGAGTCAAATCAAGTCACCTTTATTTATATAGCGCCTTTTACAATATAGATTGTATCAAAGCAGCTTCACAGTGAACTGGGACTGAGAGACTTTTTTTTTAAAATTATTATTATTTGCCCCCCGGAGGGCCACTTATAATGTTAATAAGTGCTTTTTCATCAAAAATAATTCAGTCATAATTGCATTTATTCAGACCATTTTCCACCTCCTCTATTACCCTTAGAATTAAGGGTTAGAAAGTTAAAGGTTAATTGCACAGTCTGCTATTTTGCTTTCACAGGCGGCAGTTTGCTGTTAGGTCTAATATAGTTTTTAATAGGGATGCACCGATATGAACATTTTGGCCGATACCGATAACCGATAATTCTTTACATTTGAAAGCCGATAACCGATATATTGGCCGATAAATCTAAATAAAAATTTTTATATACTTTGAGAGCCTGTATAACAAAAGGCTCACCATTAAAAGCCTTGTCTCAAACACTTTTAACATAAATCAAACCTATACAATACAGTATAGCCTAGTTTGAACCAGTGTAAGATTCCTTATCTTTTAAAATTAATTTTACACTCATATGGACAACTTTCTTTATTAAAAAATGGTACTTTATAATAAGGTTTAATTTTGATAGCATTAGTTAGCATGACCCAACATTTTTATAAAACATTTGTAAGAAAGTTGTATCTGTTAACATTAGTCAATGCACTGTGAACTAACATGAACACATATTTTATTAACTAACAATAACAAAGGCTATTGCTCTCTGTTAGTTAATGCATTAACAAATGAGACCTTATTGTAAAGTGTTATCAAAAAATCTATTGCCTAACAAAAAATAAAATGCATAAATAATGCAAACAAGTCATTGGATAACATTGGGCTGCATATAAAGAAACAAAATGCATGTCCCATGGATCAATAAAATGGAATCGCCTCTGCACGGACAATAAGAAAAAAAAATTTTAATCAAACCATATCTTTGATGAAAATAATACGAGAACAAAATAATGTTAGTTATTAATTATAGCGCAATGTTTTTGAAAAAATTAAACATTTTTAATATTACATTGATAGTAAACATCTTTAATAGCTTAGTTACTGTTTCAAATGACATTGCTGTGTGAGCTGCGCGCGCTGAAGCTGAAGAGAAGGTTGATTGCTAGAAGGTTAATCAACTCAGCGGTTGTTGAAGAATGCAAACCCAAATAATTTACAAATGTATTACAATAGTGAATACAATTATAATTGTATGACAGTCCCAATCATAGCTTTTAATGTTTTGCATTGTTGTTTAATCTGCGCACGTTGAAGCTGAAGAGAACGAGCACCGGGAAACTGAAGAACTTTTCTAGCAGGTTGTTTAAATCCACGAACGAAACGCATCATATGTGAGATTAATCAGATATTTATATTACATCAACTTTATATTACGACTTATCTGCGCAAAATGACGTGAATGCATAATCGAACTTGTGCTGGTCATGATGTGTAGGCTAATCCCTGTTCTGGACGCGCTATTCTCACAACAACGCGCTGAAACGGCAACTAAACAGAGAATTCACAACGTTTTATTACAATAGTGTTCTCATTTAATGGCATGTATTATATGACAGTCCCAATTATAGTTATAAATGTGCATTGCTGTTTGAGCTGCGCAACGCTAAAATGATCAAAGATGATCACAGCAAAGATGATCACCGGTATGAAGCGCTACTGCATCGTTCATTAACTCAACCAAACGTATCCTATATTAGATTAATCAGATATATATAGACAAAATAAACATATTACAACTTACAATGGCGCAGAATGCTGCGAATGCTCAAGAGAACTTGACTGTGCTTGTCATGAAGGCTAAACTCCATAGACGCGCTCTTTCCGCCACAACGCGCTCGTCGCGCTGAAACACTGGCGAACAACAATTCACAACATTCTTTTGCGTGTTTTTATTATAATGTTATGAAGCCTATGTGACAGATTTGTGCAGCACATGTTGCACTGAACTGTCTCTTCCTTTTCGAAGTGAATCCAATCATTCAGAACCATCATGGCGAACAGCGCGCATCTCTCAACTGAAGTATAAATAATCTATCTATCGGCTTTGATATATCGGCCCAATTTTCTTATCGGACCGATAACGATAACATCAAAAAAGATCATTTATCGGCCGATATCGATATGTGGTCGATATATCGTGCATCCCTAGTTTTTAAACTGCTTAATTCTTCAATAACAGATACCTCGTTTAAAAAAAATATATATATATATTTAAAAGATATTAAAAAAGGAACTTAAGCCGCTAATTTGTAACGCTTAAGAATTCGTCTGAAGGATCTGCAAAGCAGTAGGTGCTACACACATCCAGAAACAGAACAAGGTTTGACTGACTTTACCGCAATTTACCATTTTGTTCTTCTGTTCAGTATTAGAATTATAGCTTCTATCCTACTTCCTCTAAACTACCTCACCATGGAAATAGGCGTAATTGGCATGTAGATGTAGTCACATGCTCAAATATATTCACCACTCTATAGTATGAACTGTAGAATAAGGTGTTTTTGCTGCTTAAGCGGCTTTAATACGTTCTTTCTTTACTAAGAAAGAAGTTCTGAAAGTTACAGTGTGTTTTCATAATAAAATGGTCTCTTATTTTCAAACAGACAAAGAAAATTTGATTTGTCAGACACAAAGCAAAAAGCGTTGAATCTTCTGTCATCATGTGACTTCATTCCTGACAGGTTTTGAGATCCTGCTTGACAAGAGAGTGCTGTGAACTGCACATCAAATAGAGTAAAGCTGAAGTAGAATGATGTTGTGGTACCCAGGATGTGCAGCGCTCCATGGGAACGGGTGGTGCTGGCGTGGGAGCCCGAGGGAAGAGCCAGTTCAGGACTCAGGATGCTGCAGAGGGCCTGGATGTCAGAAGCAGAGGGCACACGGGCGTCTGCTATCACGGCGTTATAGCAGCACATCTCACGTGTGGCAGGTAGGAACCTGAAACAACAGTGAGACGGCTTAGTTGAGAACATATAGTTGCTTAAATATTCCATAAAATATAATTTATTGTCAGTAGAACAGATGAAGACCAATGAAAAACCCTAAGAAATTGTGTAGAGTGTTTTAATGTGGCATTTTGGGATTATTATTAAAGGGATAGTTCACTCTAAAATGAAAATTAAGTTGTAATTTACCCACCCTGATGTTGTTCTAATGCTGTATGCCCTTCTTTCTTTTATGGACCACAAAAGGAGAGTTTTTTTTGTTGCATGGGATCATTCTATGATACTTTTGCGCCTCTTTTAAAAAGCTTGATGCTGGTCGCAATTCACTGCCATTATAAAGACGTCATTTACTTTTTAATTCTCCTTTTGTGGTCCAAAAACGAAATAAGGCATAAGAACAACACCAGGGTGAATAAACGATAATTTACTGATTTTAGGGTGAACTATCCCTTTAAGTCAGCTGACTCCAGACAGCTATGAACCTCACCTCCAGATGACATCATAGACAGGGTCCAAACAGAGGCCGAAACCCTGGAGATCCTCCTGCTCTGAGTCATTGAAGGTGCGGCAGCTCCCGTCCAGTTTATTGATAAGTAGGCATCTGAAGGGAGGAGGCTCAGATACAGATGTTGGAACTAAACCTAGAGAGAAAAGAATGGGAGTCAACAAAGACTTTAACAGGAGACAACGCATAGGCCCTTTAAACCACACAAGTGAATCAAGCAAGAGAACATACCGATGATGTGTTTGCTAGCGAAAATTTCGGAGGTGGCCAGGACGTGGGAGTTGATTAGCGCCTCGTCGATTCTAAGGAAGGTTTGATCACCGCTGGCCCCAATCCACGTTGCCTTTCGGCCGTACTTGGCACCAATATTGGGCATTGGAGAGGGCTTGGCGTTCCAGTAGGGCATGTCTAGGATGGGTCGCCCTAACTGTCCTTTCTGTTGAGACAACACGGGATATATCTTCAGGTTTCTCAACCAACATAAAACCAGGCCAATATAAAAAGACTTAATTACTGAAACAGCTAACTTACTGAGAAACTCCCGAAGGTGAAGACCTGTCCATCCATGAGAAGCACTGCAGTGTGGTTACTGCCTGCTGTCACCTGAGTACTGGGGCCAGGCAGAGCTTGCACCAAAGTGGGAGATCCTCTGTGTGTGTGGATAAAATCGAAGGAGCCATGAGTTGATATTTAAAATAATTTAAAAATAAATAAATAAATAAAAATAATGAATCAAATACAAATAAGTAAATAAATACAAAATATAAAAAATAAGTAAATACATAAATTAACAAATTAAATAAATATTAAAAATAGAGTAAACAAATAATAATAAAAAACGATATATTATTTGTATCCAAAAAAAATATTATTGTAATTTTTGGAGTACTATTAAGATGGCTTATTATTTATTTTTATTTTTTTAATTTTGTTTATTTTCAAATTCTTGTTTTGGAGATTGACAGTCATGGCCACTGCAAACTTGACAACGGCAATACCTTAAAAACCTCATTACCTAGAATTAACATCTCCATGTCCAAGTTGTCCATGTTGTCCGTAGCCGAAGGTGTAAACATCTCCATTCTCCATTAATACCACTGCAAAAAAAAATATAAAAAAAAACAGGTTTACCATTACAAATGGATATAGTAGGCTACTTCAATTCATACTTATCATATCATAAAATAGGACCATCAAATATTGATCCAAAATAATGATGGGGAACCTGAACAATGGCTCCCTTTGACATTATCAAGGTCAGAAGAGATGTTCACTCACCGGAGTGGTGGAAACCGCAGCTGACCTGCACGGCTCGCAGCTCACAGTCGAAGCGTACGGACCCAGGAGGATATGTAGTGATCTTACTGGCATCTTTGTCCCCACGTTCACTGCTGCCATCTGTAACACAGAACAGACCGTGAGGTAAAGGGCAGACAAGGACAGCAAGAGACGAGATGGATGTCTTAAGGCAGCAGGTGATTCTGGGGACTGTTAACGACCTGGGAAGAGAAATGATCTGGTGCCTCAGAGGAAAGAAGAAAAACAGAGAAGAAGTGAAATATTGGCATGCGTGGACACTGATGGAACAGAATACAGGGCGAGGAGATAAACTGAGCGGGAAGTTGTGATTGTACACATCCTTAAAAACTCTCTCTCTGGGGTTAATAAAATAGATTTCCCATTGATTTGTGGCACAAACCCAAAGTAGGAACAAGAAAAGTGGGCTCCTTTTACTCCAGACTGATTGAGATGGTGTAGATCAGCTGCTTTTGTATCGAATCCGTGCACAGCAGAGGACTGCGCTTAATTTGAATACAAGAACGGTGTTAAAAACAGAGTGGAAACGTCCTGAAATTAATGAATAGGATATATCAGGAGAAGTAATCGTCAAAATCGACGATTTGGGTCAAAATTGTTCGAATTCACATTTACCTGCTTCAAATGCCTATTACTTGCCCTGCGCAGGTTTCCTAAAGCCACCTGGGTGGCGCAGCATTGTGGCTTGGGCCCGTCATCGCAGCTTGCAGCTATATTTTACTAATATTTACTCTATAATTAATAATGGATATTATCTATTACCAATGATAATATGCCCCTTCTGTAGAAGTTCTGGAATTTTATTTAGGTTCAGGCTTAATTTCAAAAGATGCACTGGTTCTTGATGTGTCGTAATATTTTCAGAGAAATATTTGGAACATGGAACACAGGTCATATGGATTTGTTTGATGATACGGTTATGGTGATTTTGTGATTTTTGGAGCCTGGCAGTTGTGGTCACTATGGACTAGGGGTGTCACAATACCGGTATTGATGATAACCATGATATTTAAAAATTGAAATACCAATTTCATGTTAATACTACACATAACATGGTAAATAATCCATTGCCAGTAACTATCTGTTTGACATGCCAACATGATCGGTGGCAGTATAAACGCTAGTTTCCACCCATAAATCAGAAAGAAGATGACAACGGCAACAACTGCTGCACTAACTCATGTTGGAGGAGATAACAGATGAAAGTGAGACACTGTCGCTCTATCAGCCTACAATAAACTGCTTTTGTATGGAAAAGAGATGCATAAAAAGAGATGCAATTCTAGAAAAATCCCTTTTTATGACAGATAAATTGAGAAAATATAATCTTAACTAATACACTAACAGCAAATGGGTTTGGAACGACATGAAAGTGGGTAAATAATAACAGATTTTTTTTATTATTATTTTTTTTTTGGTGAATGATTTCTTTAATAATAAAAAAGTTCTGATATTGACCTAAATATTGGATTGGGCAAATAATAAAAACACATTCAGATGGTGAATTAGCACGACTATTATTTCAATGTTTCTTAAAATAACTACAAAGCATAAAGTTCTATTTATATTGGCCATGCACTAGGATTTATTTTAAGCCCTTGTGAAAACTATGACAACTTAAAAGCCATTTTGCAGAAGAACAAAAAAAACACGTGCTATTTTAAGTGAAGATTTGGCCACTGTTTTCCCAATAATAATTACCATAACATGACAATTCTCTAGTCTCAGTCTAGTTGAGAAAATGAGCCGTTTGGTTTAATCGTAAACCTTAGCAATGATATTTTTCACCTGACTGCAGGGTCAGTTGTTCAATGCACACAGCATACAACATATGGACAATTGACTATTATGAAGAGAAAAGAGGTAGTAAAGTTAGGTCTTTATTCTTTCACCAGAGAGGGAGATGAATAGATGCAGGCAGAGAGAGATGTTATTGGGACCAAAGAAAGCGGTAGAGTACAGTTTGTTGAAGGAAGAAGGAAAAAACGGCATTATGGGGCTCCAGGTGGAGTCTGTAGTGAAGACCGCAGTACCTTTGAGTCTCTCCCGCATTAGCTTAAAGGCCTGAAGGGGTCTTATTCTTGCTAGCACCTGCTCACGCTGGTTCATAAAAAGGGGACCAGGGAAAACAAGGGGGCCTATGGGGGAGAGAGAAACTTTCACATGCATGGGGAAAAGCATCTCACAAATGGAAAATAAAACATGGTATATAACACATGGTACATTATGAAAACACAAGCAAGAAGGGAATTCCCACAAGCAACCCACTTCCCAGAGAAGACAAGCAAACGTAAAGTAGAAGGCTGAGAGTTCGGGCGATCAGTCCGCTTTTGGAGTATTATCGAGTGGGTAATAATACTCCATCCATGAACCCAGAGGAATTTTATATGGAAAATGTATGAAGTGCTCATAATCAAGGTTGTATATGACAGAGTGAACAGGAGAATGGATTATGATTAGATGTTTTGATGGGGATGGATTAGTAACATTCGCAGTGACCTGTCATTCAATTAGGTCAAATGTCATTTTATGGTTCAAAAAAATTGTTTAGATGTTAAAAAGAATTATACTATTAGGGCTGGATAATATACCTAAAACCTTAAATAAAAATTTTTGTTGATAAAATATATATAAATATCAAAGTTTATTTATTTGCTCTTAATTGGCTATTGTTGCCAAGTAAATTCAAAATGTGTAATTTAAGTACAAAAATAAAGTAAAAAATCGAGTTAAAATACACAAGACATGAACACCAGGGAGACCAATAAATAATATTAAACAGCAATATTTATCCATATATATATATTTACTCAATACTTTTCAAACATGACAAATGCGTTTATACTTCTGAAAAATTATGCAAAGGAATCTGAACTTTCAATTTAATCCATTTTTCTGAAACAGTTGGACCTGATTCACAAAAATGAATCAAAAGCTATTTTTGCTACTGCAATTCTCAATATTCATAACGTTGCTTAATTTAACACTACAGTTCAAAAGTTTAGGGTCAGTGAGATTTTGTTTTTAAACAGATTAATACTTTTATTAAGCAAGGACACCTTAAATTGATCAAAAGTGACAATAAAGACATCTATAATGTTACAAAAGATTTATATTCAAATAAATGCTGTTCATTGAACGTTCAAAGAATCCTGACAAATGTATCACAGTTTCTACAAAAATATTATATTTTCAAATTGTATGATAATAGGAAATGCTTCTTGAGCACCAAATCAAAATGATTTCTGAAGGATCGTGTGCCAATGAAGACTTTCAATTATGCCACTTTGCCATCATAGGAATAAATGACATTTTAATATATTACAAAAGTAAACTGTTATTTTAAATAGTAAAAATTAGGGCTGTCAAACGATTAATCGCATCCAAAATAAAAGTTTGTGTTTACATAATATATGTGTGTGTGTGTGTACTGTGTATAATTGTTTTTAATACATAAATACCCACACATGCATGTGTATTTAAGAAATATTTGCATGTATATACTGTATATAGACTGAATGTAGCCTATATATAATGTATATTTTATATAAATATAAACATTTTATATATAAATAACATATTTTTCTTAAATATATACATGTGTGCATTTATATACAAAATAATTATACACAGTACACACATATATTATGTAAACACAAACTTTTATTTTGGATGCGATTAATCGTGATTAATCGTTTGACAGCCCTAGTAAAAATATTTAACTATATTATTGTTTTACTGTATTTTTGATCAAATAAGTGCAGCCTTGGTGAGCATAAGAGACTTCTTCGAAAAACCCCAAACTTTTGAACAGTAGTTGGCAAAATTCCTCTCAAATATATTGTGAATATTCGATATATCCCCCAGCTCTGGCTTTACACAGTAAATACTGAAAAAGCTGCATCATTATGCAGCGACACGTCATAGTTTCGAGAGGTGTGTGTGCGTCAAACACGTGCGGGATGTCTGGGTTTATTCTGGGGTCTGGTCATGTAGGCGTCATACCTCGACCTTCCTCTATCCGGTGCCGGCGATTGATGCGCTGTCTCTTCTCCTCCTGTCGAATCTGGATGTGCTCCTCTATATTGACGCCTGGGGGAGGAGGGACAGGCACAGCTAAAATAACAGAGGTCCAGCACAGGCGGGGCCAAAGGAGGAGACAAACGAGAAACAACACAGGCAGGTGAATGATGAGCATGAGACGCAATGCAAGACAGTGAGAGACAGCGAGGTGATCCCAACAAAACACACACACACAGCTTCACTAGGCAAATATACAGAGACAACATTGCCAAAGCAGCCAGTGACCAATGACCTCCATTAGGACTGGACAGTATGACAGCTGACATTTTAGAAATTAGTGATCGACCAATATAGTTTTTATGAATGCTGAAATACATTTTTTTTTTTTATTGCAATGTATATTATAATTATTTTATTTTTTCATTATTTTTAGCAGATAGGATTACCTCTTGACAAAAAAAAAAAAAAGTTAATTATTTAATTAAATTTTTTTCCCCACATGGTTATTAAAGTCACCATGAAATCAAAATGGACAATTCTTATTTTGTATGGCATATTGCAGTATTTATTATAAATTATTTATCCATGCACAAAAGTATTTTAAAACATGCCCTTCAAATCTTTATTAAAAATAATTTCCACTCCCTCTTCCATGTAGGGTTGCCGCGGTGAGGAAAATTTCCCACCGGTTAATCGACGTGTCACAACACCGGTAATCCCGGTGTCACCGTGGGGGGCGGGGCGGGGGGGTTAAATAGCTTTTAAATGCGTGCGCGTTATACTTTCACTTTCGAAATAAGCGTCAATTGGCAATTCAGCGTCAATTGCTTGAATGAACAAAAAACAACAACTCGGCTCGCTGATAATAAAACTTTTATTTATAGACAGAACTTTTATTAGCATAACGAACGAATAAAATTAACCCCATGCATAGGCTGAAAATCGTCAAACTGTGGGCCCAAACAAATAAGAACCATAAAACGTTTATTAACGAATAAGAAAATAAAACAGGCCTAAATAAATTACACTTTCCGCCATTATCTTGCTTTTCTTTAATTTGACTCGTTCTCATCTCCACACGTGCTAAATGGAATCCTGATGCTTGCTGATCTGTGACGTGACTGGCTCTTGGCACGCACTGCGCAGTTCAGTTTTTAATTATAATGTATGCTCTCTTCTGAACTAAATAATTGATAATTATTATTTTTAATTAATTCAAATAAATATTTTAGCAAAAACGAATACTTTAAAAAAGTCAAGACATCGCGGTGTCACGGTGGGAAAGTGATGTCACCGGTGATGGGGCTTAAAACCGGTAACACCGTCAACACCGTCTATCGCGGCAAGCCTACTTCCATGATGACGTGTTTACTAATACGAGGGCGGGACAACCTGTCACTCACATGACATCACAGCAATAGAAAACCACAACCATCCAACGATCCAATCAATTCCCGATGGACAAGTTTTTTCCTTGTTTAAGAAGCCATTTCACTCGAATTTACATCACAAAAGGCAAGAAAAGACTATCACAACTTGCGTTTCATGGTGACTTTAAATTATATTTTAAAAATGTTGTTTGTTTAATTTGTAATTGTTATATTTTCATTCTGCCCTTCCCTAATCGGAATACTTCATGCATGCAGACAGTATGGTTCAACATTTGACATGAAAATGGCTCACAGACAGGAAAGAGATATGATTTGATGGCTATGGAGCTGTAACGAATGTGATTGGATGACACCTCAGTACCTAAGAGCAGGTCCAGCGGTATCATTTCTTTCACAGCATCAAAGATTCCTCTCTGCCTGGCCTCCTGACCATCCAGCTCTCTGGCACAAGCCTTACAGCAGCCACATGACGAACAGCCAGACTCACCAGAGCCGCAGCCACAAATCCTGCAGAGGAGAGATATACATAAATGGATAAGGACTGCAGTAGTGCTATAGATATTGATGAGAGTAAATATCACAATTAAAAAGTAACAAATAACAACTACTCCCGTTTACAGTACATTTTTCTTTTTTTTTCTACTTTTATAATTAAATAATAAAAAAGTAGATTTTTTTCAGGAGAAATTAATCGTGGTACTTTTACTTGAGTTACCGGTAATTTAAAATAAATTATTCAACTTTTCTACATTTATTTTTTCAACAAAAGTAGATAAAAAAGACCATACCTAAGTGTTCTAAACATATGCAGTGAAAAATGTAAGAAAATACATTGTAAGAAATTGAAACGCTAAAAGTTGACTTTTTTTTCTAAAAATGAAATATTGTTGTGCCATTTCAATACTGCAAAAATAAAGACATTTTTAAAAAGTTATTTTAAAAGTACAAATTATAACTGATTTATTCATTTATTATTTTATAGTTAAAAGTAGCTACACTTTTAACCATAACTTAATTTATTCTTACTTTTTGTAATTTGAGAATGTATTCTTTATTAGTTGAATTTTTTATTTGATAAGCAAAAATTTTTTTTTATAATTAACTATCTTTTAAGTCATGTCCCTTGTGGCCGGTTTAGTACAATGGAAAAAAAAAATACTATATTCATGGCAATTTCTTGTTCTGAAATAATAGCTGGATTATGGTGATTTGTGTGTGTTGTTTGGTTTCTCTCACCCTCCTGGCACTCTGTCAGGTCGGCCACTGCTCACACAGCTGGCGCCGTACCCAGTGCAGTCTCCGCACACGGTGCACACCATACACTGGTCCAGCTTCCACTTGTGCATGCCTGGCTGACACATCATAGATTTCTCCTCCTTCTCGTCCAGCTCGTCTTCTAAGTCCTCGTCCATGGCGGTGGCCATGTTCTCTACACCAAACGCTACGACAGGAACACATTAAAAACATGCTTTCAAACATAGCTGACTACACAACCTGACATTTTGAATCTGAATCTCAGTTGGCTCTGTTAGTTATGGTCAACTGCAGTGAACCAAAGACAGTCTCAAAAATGCGGTTTGAAATCGCTGGTGTTTGACGTCGCAAACTACCTTGTAACCAATCACGTCAATGTGTGATCGTCAACGAGTGGATCTCTGAGCTGGTGTGAGTGAGTGGAGGCGGGGCTAGTTTACATATTCATAGAACCGTGTATACTAAATGAGGCAAAGGGGGTAGAGTTACATTGAAGCTATTTAAAGGCATGAAGACATTTTGTTTTTTAAGGAAAAAAAGTTTAAATATGTAATTGTGGTGATCAAAGATGAGTTAAGGGATAAAACACTGTCACAACAATATAATAACTTTGTGTGTTTTCTTTAATAAGTCATGCATATAACAATTTTATACCAATAAACGTAAAAAAAAAAAAAGATTTTGATATAACCTTGATATAACGGCAGTGACGATATATCGGTTGATCACTAATTTGGAGAATCAAGTATTTTTCTTCTAATAAATATTAGATGTGTAGTTAAACTATGTGGATTGAGATTTTGAACTAATGAGATTTTACAGTGGGTGAAGCTACTCAGCACAACACATCAGAAGAAACTCCACAAAAGATATAGAAAATGTTGCATTATAGCTATCATTCCATTTGGTGGAATTTTCCCAGGACGGTCAAGAATTCAGGGCCTTTGCTAGTATATAATTGTACATTTCCATGTTTGGTTTTGATTAAGCGGTTCTCACCTTTCCCTGCCTGGCTCATGGCTCCAGTGTCTCGACCACACTGGCCCTTGTTGTTCACTCCAAATGTCCACACCTCCCCGCTCTTGGTCAGGACACAAGTGTGCGCTTTTCCCATAGCTACCTGAGTTACAAACTGTCCCTTCAGATCTGACACCTGACCTGCAAGTCAAAAATGAATCATGGAAAAAAATGTATCATGCATGCTAATAAATCTCTCATAACATTTTAACATAAAGCAGCTGTGAAGCGAATGATACTCAAATTAGGGGTGGGCGATATACCAGGAGAAACGATTAACCGCTAGAAACTTTGAAGATTTTGGACTATTGCCTTTATTGCGGTTACACTGCACAGCAGACGACACAGAATTTCTGAAAAAATAAAACATTTTATAGGGCCCTACTGTTGTAAAAAATTTTAATTATTAAATTTGAGGAGGGGGGGAGGAAACAAGAAAACAAGTTTTCTGAGTTCAACTGATTGGATGTGCTTTTTTATTATTCAAGTTTAATTAAAACATTAAAAATGGAATCCATAAAAATTAAAACGGAAAACACGAAATGTGGGAAGAATAAAACAGATTTTGAGAAAAAAATAAACAGATTGTATGGGCCCTAAAAAAAATATTTTTGTTAAACTTTCAATAAATTGTCAAATTGTACAAGTTTTGTGAACCCAGAAAAATTAATTCAGGGAAAAAATAAAACTGATTTCATAGAGCCATTTAAATGGGCTACACATAGTTTGGTGTTTTAATATGCAGCAAGAGGCACATCACTATGCAGCAATCATGGATGACAGTATTTGCATATCCTGAAACTCTGCTTCAGGATTAAAAAATATATATATATGACTATATAAATTGCAAAACTAAGTATCCCGTATGTAGGGCATCAACTGCTAGAATATTTGCTATATCAGCAAAAATAAGCTGGCAGAAATCCAATCATAAAAAAAAAGAAACCGTTTATGTACATAATCTGAACATCCAAATATGGAGTTTTCTAAATATATCCCCCTTTTGTGGATGTGGATCATGTACTGGCTCTAAATAATCTCTCCCACAAAGGACAGATATATGGTTTTACAGACAGCAATATGATAGGCCATCATTTCTTTCCTGCCATCTTTAACGGGTACGTACAGGTACTGTCGCTGTAAATGGCATCCTTGCCAAACATGTAGAGCTCTCCATCTTTAGTGACAATGCTGCTACTGCCATTGTTGCAGGCCGTGTAGATGGCCGTCTTGGTCTCGAGTTTGATCATCTTCTTGGGTTTGTAGGGCTTTGGTTGTCTCCTGCTCTTTGCTAAAGACAGACACCATTATAAGAGGTTGACCATTAATCATTATGTCAGATCAAGTATGTACATGATAATAATTTCGCTCATACTTGACTCTCCGTCCTCCCCTTTGCTGGCGGAGCCCGTGAAGAAGACGCTCCCATCCTCTGCCACCAGCAGGGCGTGAGAGCCATCATGGCCCACTGAAAACTGCACAAACTTGGGCGACTTGGTGACCGGCAGCTCCACCCACTTCCCAGCCGACGGGCCGCCCTGCTTGATGCCGAGGCTCTGATACTTTCCAGTATAGTAGATCTGCATTAGTGGAGAGGAAAACAATCACGTTTACATCTCCCTTGTGTGTTATCAAGCCTGTGTGCAATGGCACAAACCAATACCTCTTTCAGATAATAAGAATGAACCACTGAAATGGCACTCAAGAACTCTTATACAGACACTAGTTAAGGCATTCAAGTAGTGACAGGACAACTATTTTGCACCAGACAATAACTGTGCCTGATTGGCCTATTAAAGGGATAGTTCACACAGCTATGCAATATCTGTCATTGTTTACTCACCTTCATGTCGTTCTAAACCTGTAAATGTAAATGTTAGGCAGGATTAAAGCAGCACAATATTTCAAAATAAAATCAATATCACAATATGGCTTAGTGCTATTGTGAAAATGTGCAGACTGTGATTTAAAGCTAGGGTAGCCAATTTCAGAGAGGCTAGTAATAGCAAGCTAGCGCCAAAGAGCGTCTCCAAAGCCACGCCTTCTCCAAAACACATGAACGCGCACAGCCAGAGCAGAGTCTGCATAGCGGCGTTAAATTACCTCATGTCTCAAAGCACATAACATTATCATGTCTCAAAGCACATAACATTACAATAATAATGAACGTAAACAACTTAAGAGAGCTCTGACTTTTACCACCTCACTGCTGCAGATTCAATTCGGCATTGATAGTGTTGCCATAGAAATGCATAAATCTGAGAACGTGAACAGCTTTGAGAAGAACGTCACAAGTTGTCATCTCTTAATTACAGTAATTATGACATGGTGTGAATGCAGCATAAGCTTGTTGTCTTGGTTCAGATGGAACTGTAAAAGGTGGCTGCTGTTTGTTTGCAACGCTCACTGACTGTGTCTACAATGGACTGAATGCAATGATTGGACGAACATTTTTTGGTCCTGACACTTCCACAGAAGATATAATTTGAATAGTATTATAGTTAGGGATGTAACGATTCACTCGCAACCGGTTGAAAATCCATAAAAATGTGTGACGATTCAAGTCGGTTGAAATGTTAAACAAATCGCGATACACGTTTTAAACAGCAGGGCGCGTTTACTGTATAGCCTACTGTGAAGTTGTGAACCTGGCTTTACAGGCACAATAGCAGCAAGCACACACTGGCGTGAAGCTAGCGAGTGTTTTCACTTCATTCATGGAACTTGATCTTGTGTGAGCCAAGCTCAACTTCCATAGGAATGAACTGAAAACGCTCGGTTTGCTCCGCTCGCGCCGCACCAGTGTGTGCCATGACTGGTGTGCACGCGCCGTCAAACGGTAGACATTGCGACGGCAAGCGTAGATGTTGACGTTGACTCATTCAAATCGGAGGTGTGGGGGCATTTTGACTTTCCGTAGACTAATAATAATCACCACCGTGAGAAGCACCAGTCACCTCCGTTTTCATGTAAAAGTCATTAATAATACGACAATTGCGAGAGCCACGAAGATCACAAGGTGCATCAGAGTTTCCGTGGCAACCAGGTGTTGTATTTATTTTACTATCTCTTTCTCTAAATGTTTTTTTTTTTTTTTACACTTACTAGTGTAATGATACAAATTATAACAAAATTAGAATCTTGCCTTTATTACAATGTAAAACCCCTGTCAATCTGGTACTAATTTTACACAGTCTTTTACATAGTGTGCGAAGGTAACAGCCTCTTGACCAAACAGACAGAAAGACTGAGTTGAAACAACCTTGAAGGGAATTTTTTTAATGTAGTTTTATTATTTGACAAATATATTTTAAATTAAAAAGAAATGTGCAGCATTTTGTCTGAGAAATAATAAAAGGGACACTTTTGTCTTAAAGGGGTCATATAATGGTACATGCACTTTTACAAGTTGATTGTACTGAAATGTGTGTTGGCAGTGTCTGTACACAACCATCATATAATGATAAAAATCTATCCAGTGTTTTTGTTTTAATCTCCTTATATGTTTCCCCCTGCCTCAAATCGAGCCGTTCGACCGTGTGACGTCACAAGCTCGCACGCCCCTCCCACGATTGTTGATTGACAGGAGCGTTTCAACACAGACCCGCCCTCGCTCATGAGGGAGCTGTCAATCATAGTCTGCGCGGACATTGTTGATATGCTGGAGCACTGTCTATGAGCAGAATGGCGTCTAAGCGATTGTGGTGTTCTGTTCTTGGGTGTAATAACGAACACAGCAGTCATTTTAATGTTCCTAAATCCGAACCGCTTAAGACGCAGTGGCTGAGTTTGTTTTCGAAGGGAATATTCCCCACGAGCAACGTCAATGCTCTCATGTTTGGGCGAATCATTTCTCAGCAGACTGCTTTATAAACGAGGATCAGTGTAAAGCTGGTTTTGCTAAGAAGCTGCTCATGAAAAAAGGATCGGTACCAGATATTCGTGTTCCAGCTGAACCTCCAGAAGAACTGAAGTGAGTGTAACGTTTTATTAAACTTTATATTAATATATTAATCTTTGCAAATCGCTAGCTGCACGCTTCACAATGAATGCGTCTAAGGTTTACACTCAGGGTACATTACAGCACGTTTTCTATGTATGACGTTCTCAATATAATTCATAATCCCACGTTTATACTGAACAACGCGTTATGGTTATTGTGTTATTGAGTTACAAATGGTGTATGCACAGAACAGAGAGCCGGGGTGAGCAAAGCTCATTATCATTTAAAGTCATATGCACTGAAACGGCGTGCTGAAAACAGAGCTGTTTTTGACCAGGTAAAATAAGTGTTTTCTTACAATACTAATGAGAATTTTTAATTAAAGTATATTACAAACTTTTAATTTAGACCCTAAAGAATCATATTAGCTTGTACAAAAATGGCATTATATGACCCCTTTAAATCTCATTTGTTAAAAAAATCGTGAGAGAATCGTATCGTGAAACCAGTATCGTGAATCGTATCGCATCGTGAGATGAGTGAATCGTTACATCCCTAATTATAGTATTGTAATAGTGTTGTAATTTTACAGTTGTACAATTTTTTAAAAAAAATTATTTTATCCTTTTTAACGGTACAACAGTTGCAATATCCTTCTTATTTTGTTCGATATATTATTTAATAATAATCATAATAAAAATTACGATTATTATAATTATTTTATACTGAATTTGTCAAAAAAACTGAGAATGTGCCCTATCCAAACTCAAGTGAAGAGATATATTTTTTAATCTCATTTGGAGATCTATTTTTTAACTTTTCACTTTCAAGAGGTTTGTGTTAGTTCCTGTAAACCAATGTGTGAACACCCAAAAAAAAAAAAAAAAAACATTAAGCCCTTAATAGATGGTTCGTACTCAAAAGATAGTCTTCGAGTAAAAAATAATCATTTTCTTGCTTTTAATTATTTTTATTTTGCACTCCCCAACAAAATTACCCCTTTATTCCTGTATTTCTTTTCTTCAGATCACAAATCCCGCAGAAAAAGTAAATATGTCAGTTTGCAGCTTGGATGTTCACACTGCAAACGTGAATAGTTACCAGTGGTTCCAAAAAAAAAAAAAAACTAAGCAGCACCATAAAATTCTTCTTAAAATGACTCATTCCAAGCCATCTGAAGTTTCTGAAATTGCCCTTTAGCTCACAAATATCATTTGTGCAATTTGAATACGTGCCTCGCAAACGGCGCTTGGGATCATTCAACAAACCTGACGTTACATGTCTTGTATTTGAGGACAAATATGAAAAAGATTTGGTAGGTCAGATGCACATACATCTACTATTAGTATTTAAATATCAATTCTATGAATAAAATACTAAAATTCATATAATTAAAATAAAATCTTCATTTAAAATTATGTGTATATATATATATATATATATTCTCAATTTTAAATGAAAAACTAATTAAAATATATCAAATAAATACTGTACTTCTGGACTACAATCGATGATGACAGAAAACACATATCAGCATTTTGCAGTCCCATTAATGTATGTGTGCGAAGAACTACACAACCTTCTCTTCTATTACCGGCCACAGCATTTATTAGGAAAGTTGCCCAGCCATGACTCATTCAGGCCTGTTTTTACTGCTATGCTCACTGGACTGGATAATCTCCAGATAAGTTTTAAAGGATGATAAACCTACAGCAGCTCCCATATCTCATGAGGCCTGGCCTGCACCTCCCTAAAACACACTCCAACATTTCAGATCAATGAGACACACCCAGTGTCCAAATTGAACTTTTTGCCACACCTGACAACGGCAGCTCAACTGAGATAATAAACCATTTACTGTCATTACTTAACAGAACAATATTTTTTTCCAAATCCTAATCAAGTTAAGATTAAATTGTTTTATGTACTCGCCGAAACCAATTTGTACTTGCATTTAGTGCTTAGTGTGTGTCAGTTTTGGAGCCTGTCCGCTCCCCTTTATTTGTACTGCTCCAGGAGCATGTGTAAATACACACAAGCTGTGCTCTCTTTGGCCTCTCAAACACTCCAGCCTCACAGAGTGTCAAAGAGCCTCGGCGTTCAACTGGAAGCGTAGAATAATCAAATTACTTCCAGTTATTTAAGCATGTGTGCGGCTCTACAGGCTGCCTTCTCTGCTGCTGCCGTCCCTTTCACACAAGAGACACCATTACTGCCATCAGCCCTGCCAGCCAGACCTAGTGTGAACTCTCACACACTGGCGAAACAAACAGGCACACACATTCTTACTCACACAACCTACACTTGTAAATTTATGAGGATTACAAAATAAACGTACATGTTTAATGGTCAGATGAATGTGCAACTAGCTGAATTTAATAAGGACAATGCATCGGTGCCCTTTTATTACTTGTCAACAGACCCAGTCATCTCTAATCGTACAAAATCTTTTGTATTAGTTCTAGTATGGATTTATAGTAACACAAGCAAAGGCGGAGTGATATATGTGAAGATAAAAATGTTAAAATAATGAAAGAAAAATAAGAAATTATATTGTGCATAAAGAAACTTTTTCTAAAAAATCTCATTACTGTAATGTGTTCATGTAATTAAACTTTTTAATATATATTTTACTATATACAATGGTGATTCTCGTTAGATTCTCATAAAAAATAGGGCTGCACGATTAATCGAAATAAAACCGCACGCGATTTGGCAAAGGATGCGATTATTTTATGCGCAGCTTGTCAGTGCAGCACGGCTGATCGGTAGTAAATGCTGCTCCATCTGAAAGCTAGAGGGCGCTCTCACACAGAAACGCCAAATATACCCCGCAGAAGTATGATAACACACATCATTCCAGGAAATCCCTATGGGCATCATACTAATAAACAGAAGACTGAAACGCTTTGATTGATTAAACATGAGTCATGTCTAATAAACACACGACTGCCTTATTCTGTTTAAGAAGCCACATCATCTCACAGAAGGATGCTCAACTGTCGTTATGAAGTGAGTTTGGAGTAAAAGCATGTTATTAAATGTTGTCTTTTGTTGGACAAGAGGTTCATAAATGCTTCTCATGTTTGACGCATTTTTCAAATGCACGTTATAAGTGACTCAAACTCACAGTGCTTTCAGATGGAGCAGCGTTTACAGAGCCGTAGATCAATGACAAGCAGCGCATACAAAAAAAAAATCGTGTAGCCCTAATAAAAAATTATTAAAAATGATTTTTAAAATTAGCATAAATTAAAGGTACAATAATACAACAATAGACATGCAATTTTACAATACAAAACGTATGAAACGTTTACAATAAGATAAGTAACATGCATTAAGAAAATACATTTTGATTTAATGCCGACTTTAATGGTCCTTAAGGTTCACATTCTTATAATTTCTTAAAACCAAAACATGTTCTTCATGTTTACTGGCATTTACCCAATCCTGATCTGCTTTATCTCTACCTCTAATCCAATGCTGTAATTATGCATGACAGAAATAGTTTCACCACCACATAAAGAAGAATCAAACATTTCTGTAACACAGATTCAGTTAAATATGAATGAAGAGACACTGAGGAATATAGAGAGGCATGTCTACCTTCCCAGATGCCGTTTTCATCAAAGCAAACTCTCTGCCAGCTCCAATCAACGCTGCTTCCTCATCAAACCCTGTGCCTGAGGACAGAAACACACACGCCACAAACGAGACAACACCAAGTCAGTTCATTTCAACACTTGCTTCCTCCTAAACACTGATTGCATGCATAGATGTGTGTGCACTGAAGCACTGGTCTTACTGATGATATGAAGGTCTTTCTCCAGGTCAAAGAGGGAGATGCCACAGGCATGAAGACACTTCCTGGCCAGTTTGAGCTGCAGTTCCTGCTGTAGGGCCGGGTCTGAGCTGGTGGCGTAGATCCGCACCACAAAGCCGTCCTAAATAAACCAAAACACACACACAAAATCATTAATCATCATAAAAACACTGCCTCTTTCTAGTGCGCCTACATCTGCACGACGGAACATCAAGCAAGCATAAACGTTTAAGCACAATTTTACAGTTATTAAATGCTTAAGCTGAGCTACAATAGGATGCTCTTCAGGTTAATGTGTGGCATCTTTTCAATGCTAAAGCAAATCTTATCCCGTCTAAATATGCAAATTCCAACATTGAGGCCAGTTGAAGCTAAACTCTGCAGGACAGTGGCCCTCCAGGAGCAGGTTTGTAAACCTGTGTAAAGTGTCTTTAAGACATTTTAATACGTGGTTCTGTTTGGTTGATCATTCCAATTAGTTTGATACAGTGACTTTGGTTTGACAAAGCAACCAATGGCGTGAGTTTGAGGCGGGACTATCAGTAGCAGCAGGGCCAGTTCTGTTTTATTCCTTCTCCCTGCTAAAAGCAGTCTCATTAAGTTCCCAAACCAAACCGCCCAGTCCAGTGCTTAATTTTTAAGGCAGTCTTCAGTAGCGAATGCTTTTGCCATGTCGCCACTTCTTGGGACTCTGCAATGTCACTCTTTTACTTAAAGGTGACCTATAATTCAAAATTTAATTTACCTTGGTATAGTCAAATAACAAGAGTTCAGTGCATGGACATGACATAGAGTGAATCTCAAACTGGACTGTTTTCGCGTTCTCATTTAATTCACGTTTATGAAAAACACCCCTGAAAAACGGTCGGTTCTCCACACAATACCGACTGTGACGCAATAGTCGGGATCATTAATATGTACGCCTCCAAATATTTGCATAATGCCAGCCCTCAATGCCAGGCGGAACTGCGCAGCCGAAGCATGGCAGTTGCTCAGTGTGGATGTACACAAACATTTCACCGACTGTTTCCTCAACTTGGGCCAATACAGAGCTGGCCTGGGATCGAGCTACCAAGCAACACTTTCTGATGTGTAATTGTTCAAGTTCAGACAGGTAATCTTTCTCTCAAAATCGTTAAATACTGTTTATGCATCAGTAAGTCAAGCCAGTGACTAAAATATCAGCTTCACATCGTTTCTTTTAGTAGGATGAAAATAATCGTATTTAAATTGTGAACAAATTATATACAGAAAGCGATCAAAGAACAATCTTTCCACACGGCGCGAGTTTATCTGGACACTTGCCAAACTCGTTATGAAATCAATGACGCACGTTACTGCACAACGAAGCTCTTACTGTATTTACATCATCGTGTTTGCATTGGGGAAAGCAGAGAGAGTGCAGAAACTGCTTTGCAATGATAAGATCTTCATTCTCGCGATCAACACACAGTCATCTGCTCAATGCTCATCACGGCAACATTTTATGTGATGGGAATAGATCTAAATACTTTAAAAACATCTCACGATTCGTTAATCTCGATAGCTGTTATAGTAAAAACGTATAATAGCAGTAGTAAAAGTATTCGGGAGAGAGTTTCACATGTAATGCGTTGCTATTTCATATGCAAGCATGTCAGCCAATCACAGCAGTGGCCGCGGTTACACTGAATCCCACAGCAGACACGCCCCTTCAAACAGAGTGTTCAAATCAGAGGCTAAAAACAGGCTAGGAAAAATGCCATTTATTTCTAAATTATGATTATTTTTTATCTAAAAAACATACTAACATTATAAGGGTAACCCAGGAAACATTATAAAAAAATAAAATAAAACATTCTAGGGCACCTTTAACTTCATTACAGATTTAATTATGTCTTTCTGCTGGCGGTCGCTTCCGCGAGCAAGTTATTTAGATTCATGCACTGGGCTGTGAAAGATCTGTGCATGTATTAGCTGCCGGAAGACTCAAGAGTCATCTTTCAGTCTAAAGGTGCAGTGACATTTTGGTGAAATTTCACGGCAAAAAATATCTACATATTTTGCCAAAAAAAAAAAACAGTAGGTAAGGCCATCCTTAAAAATATTCTTGTTTGCCGTAACCCGACCGACCCTGTCAAATTAAGACCGACCCAATTATTATTATTTTTTCCCTTTTAGTCCGACCGACTTGCCGGTTGTAAACTTGCATTAAGACCGACCGATTTTTTTTTACTCTTCAAATAACTAATACAAATGCAATAAAATAATATAAATTATATTATAGTAAGTAGTGTGAATATAAATTGCGTAGGCTACGTTCTTTCTTTTAAATAAAAACCCCTGGCGTCATCTATGATGATTATGTTTACACCATTGATTGGTTTACGCATGTCACACTATGGCCTGTGCGTTCGCTTCGTTTCATTCACTGTTAATGTTTCGCACTTGGTGATGGCTGCGGCGTGGCTGCTTGTGAAATACGTCTGTATGAGCCTACATTTAGGCGCTCATTATTCGAAATTCTTAATGGTCAAACAAACACACATAAGTATGGGAAGCCAAACACACCGAAAGTGGGACGAAACGCGGTTACAGAGTTCACGCGACAGACTCGACAGCGCAGGGAGGAAGTGTTTGCTTGCGCCACCCAATGGTCAGCGCGGCGCAAACTAATCTCACCAGCGCCGCGCTGACCAATAAAACAGCACATCCCATACCGAAATGTACTAAATTGCACTAAAGAAAATCGACCATATGTCAGGACTACTTAATAGGCCTATAGTTTCTACAGCCATTTGACCTCACTGATTTCCGTTAATAATAGCAGAGGTTTATGGGTCAAATGTAAATAATGGTGCCAAATGCCCTGTTTTATTGGTCGGCGCGGCGCTGGTGAGATTAGTCATTTTAATTAATTTGTTTCCCTCTGAAAATCCACTTTCATTGAAATCTAGTAGTTTTTTTTTTTTTTTTTTATTCTGCCTATTTTTTTTCCCCCCCAAATGAATGCAGATGGAATTAATGCAATAAATATGCTTTTTGACAAAGATTTCAAATTGTTTGTGGTCTATAACCTGTATCAGAATGAGGTTCGCAATGGTGCGCCCGAAGGCATGGGTTGAAGACCCAGTCAGTGATGTCACGATATGCAAATTTGTTTAAATTCATACCGACGTAAATCACCATGACCAAAGTTGTCCTTTTTTTTTTTTACATTGAATCTTGAAAAAAAAATATAGACCTACCTACCGACCCTTTTTTTTTTTTTTTTGCTGTTACTGCAAACCAAAATATTTTTAAGGATGGCCTAATTTGCCCTGAAGTGAATGTGTCTCTTCAGAAGACTCCATTTATATGGATTACTTGTATAATGTCTTTATGAACGTTTTAAAGCCTCAAAATTTTGATGTAAAGGACTTTCAATGGAGGTAAAGAAATGTATGAAGTTTCATTAAAATGATCTTTATTTGTGTTACGAAGATGAAAGAAAGACTTATGGGTTTGAAACAACATGAGTGAGCAAATGTCAGAATTGAACTATCTTTTTAAAGTAGCTGGTTTTCAGTGTTGCAGTAATGTGGACTAGATGGCGTATTTTTTTAATTATTGTTTTTATTTAAATATTTGATAATCTGATTCGTTTCAATGCCCAAAGAAATTATGCATGCTTGAAGTCTAATGTGACTGCGTCTTAATACTGAACAGTTCAACTTTTTTTCTTGATGACTGGGCTTGTTCCAAAGCTCAATAAAATAGCCATTATCTCAGAGCCTTTGACAACATTAGAGGCTTCAGTCTTAGATTTGAACTATGTTAGCATGCGCATGAGATGCAAAGTAGCACCCTTACATATACTGGGCCAGTTTCATCCAGAAACACACACGCTTATGCAGGGTGTGTACACTATGGTGAGACTAGGGCATGTAGTCTGTGAGTTTGCATGAGTGAGCATGTGATATAAAAAAAATAGAAGACGACACACTGGAGTCTTTGATTTGCAGCTGTTAATGACCATACAAGTGAGCTTTCAAAAACCGACGCTCCAGGCAATAATCGCACCGCTAAGAAATGCACGTCTTTTCCTCCCTCCAAGATAAGCGCCACAGCAGTTCAAAACATTATCCCTCACGACTTCCCTCCTTAACCCCTACACTCTTCATTCATGTATGCAAAAAGGGATCTTCAAAGGCAGATATGAATATCACACACCCCTCCCCGTAACTGCTGCCCACTCATGATCAGCCAGTGATATGCCCACGTCCAGTGCTGCAGCCCCTCCCTGCCTACACAGCTATTATGCAAACACACTCAATACACACACACAGCAGAGCTGAATTCGGCTGAAACAAAGGAGATCAGGTGCTGCTGACAGCCACAATCACACCACTTGAGAAAAAGGCAATGATCATGTTTTTATGACGTGCAGGGGAGGGAGGGACAGGGAAATCGGTTGTCGTCTGATGAAGACCGACCGCAGCGTGGAGAAAACAGGCTGTTCATTTCGGATCAAACATTTATTGGGGTTCTTGCATTATTATCCATCTATTACAAACTATTTGAACACATGTATTGGTTGGCTATATCAGTTTGTCACCTAGCAGTTTGGCAAACCATTGACAAATCAACCAATAAAACCTCCTACAAATAACGGGTTTCTAGTAAATACGATTGATTCCAGAGTTTAACATCAGCATGTTGCTAAACTAATGGCAGGATACTCTAAGAAGTACAGGAAAATAAAATAAAAGGACATGTAAATAGTCTTAAATACACACTACTTTTCAAAAGTTTGGGATTGGTAGGATTTTTTTTAAGTCTCTTATGCTCATCAAGGCAGCATTTATTTGATCAAAAATAATTAAAGAGTAAATATAGCATATTGTGCAATATTATTACAATACAAAGTAACTGTGTTCTATTGTAAAATATTTAAAAAAGAATGTTTTTTCCTGTAACGGCAAAGCTGAATTTTCAGCATCCTTAAGTGTCGCATGATCCTTCAGAAATCATTCTGATATGATTTAATGAAACATTTCTCATTATTATCAATGTTGAAAATAGTTTTGCTGATTAATAGTTTTGTGGAAACCATGAATGAACAATTCCTTTGATGAATAAAAAGTTCAAAGGAACAGCATGTATTTATAGGTAGAAATCTTTTGTAACATTAAAAACGTCTTTACTTAAATGTCCTCCTTGCTGAATCAAATCAATTTTTCAAAAGCATATCTTACTGACCCAAAACTTTTAAACAGTAGTGTATTATACTATGCTTTATTATTTTTTACCTTTTTAATCCATACATTTACTGATCAGTATAATTATTACAAAATAAACCCTGATACAAATACAAGTATATATATATATATATATATGAGGAGCTCTTTTGCAAAACGCGATAAATCCATTTCAATAGTTTTTAGGAAAAAAAAATTTTTTTACCTAGACCCACACATTTTGTGAATATTCAATTATTTAACAAATATTTAACAAATATTCTGTTAAAATGTTTTTTCCCCTCAGTCTGAACATGTTGAACAATGATTATTGAATCAAACAACAATATTGTTGATGATAAATTCAAAGTTTTTTTGTTGTTTTTTAAACGCTATAAATCCACAAAAGAAAAATCCAAAAATGGATGATTTTGGCCACTTAATTAAGTTTTGTTTTGTAGAAAGCCTTTCTTTAAAGTGAATTTCGTTTTGTATAAATTGTATCTTAATTTTAATAATTTTTTCATCAACCAATTGCCTGGATTTAATAAATAAGAAGCAAATAGACAATATAATCATGACATGGAGGCGCCGGCGTGGTCACTTGCATTGCACGTGAACTGGTGCGCATCTCATCATAAATTAACCGAAATTCAGCGTATGCCTCACAGACATGAGAAATACATCTATATAGAAAGCTTGAAATGTCTTTAAACGAAACAATTAAAAACGAAAATAAATAGCATACTCTCTGATTATGTAATCCATTACATGCATTTCTCTCTAGGCGCGTTCACTACAGAGATGCTGATAGTCAATTTCATCTTTGCAGACACTGACACACAGAAAACAGTTGATTAATAAAAATAAAATAAAAATGTCGATTTTCGAACGATATTCGACTTTTGCTCCTTGATTGTCGAATGCCATTTTTGGCAGAAATTATAAACAGAAACCTTTGGCAGCAGCATCTACCCCAGGTGTATGTCTCACTGGCTCATCAAGGCCATCAAAAGTGTTATCACCGTTTAAAGCACTCATTTTGAGGAATGAATGAACATAAACAAACCTCTGTTCAGCGCGCCGATGTTGGATTGCGTAGAACGCTCACTGAATTCTGATTTGTCGAGAGAGGATTTATCGCTTTTAGGCTAAAAATAGGTTTGGCGCTTATCACGGTTTGGAAAAGAACTGCATCTTGCAGTACATTTTAAACAAGGAAATATAGTGATTTGGCATGAAACATTGATGGAGCAGTGAATAGGTTCAGAACAAAGCAAAATGACATGACAAACTAATTTTTTTTTAAATGGCGTTTATCGCGTTTTGGAAAAGAGCTCCTCATATATATATATATATATATATATATATATATATATATATATATATATATATATATATTATGGATGTGGATTTCTGCCAAAAATGACATTCGAAAATCGAGGAGCAAAAGTCGATTATCGTTCAAAAAAAAATAAATAAAAAAAAAAAAACGCACACTCACAATGACAGAAAGGGAGGCCAATTTCATCTTTAGCGATTTGTCATCAAACAAACTGTTTATTATTCGAACAATTAACATGTTTTCATCGTTTTTTTTAACATACCGGTAGTTAACATAGAAGAAAAAAACAATAAGCACGACAGTCCGTTTTTGCATCGCCAAACCAGATGCTCGTTAGATAAAAAAAATAATCTCATAATGATTTTATGCAAACCTGCCTTGTTACTGCAAAAGCCTACTTTTTAAACAAATTAGTTTCAATCAAAACTATTCGTGTGATGCCACTGCGCAATACACACACACATTAACGTTACCGCGGGATGGCGGGTGTTCATTTCATAAACCGTGGACAATGGTAGCTTATTTAATGTAGCCTATAAATGAATGTATATGTCCAAAAAACGGATAATGTCATCATACTTGTAGTGCTATCGTCGAGTAATAATCTGTTTGGTTGTAAAATGTATTACCTGAATGAAATGAACTAGAATGTATCGTCCTGTGGAATCATTCATTCACAGACATCACACGAAGATGTTCAACTAGATCTTCATCGCTGGCAAAAATATGATGCATTTGCAGATTTGCTTTCACTAGACTAAACTGTAGGTCCACGGCCACTTCATCCAACGCTCTTGATGTTCTTAAATCTTCCTGCTACGACTCCGTGTCGAGTGTGAATTGAAAGCGCTTCAGACGATTCAGTGCGCGAGGAACTGAACAGATCATTCAAACTGATTCGCGAACCGATTTAGACAGATCTGCCAACTTGTTTGATGAAGTCTTTGAACAGAATCGACTCAAAAGAGTGATTCATTTGTGAATGGAGCATCGCTCATGCCCATAAAAAAGACACAGCGCGCTTGGAATAAACTACGCATTTAACAACATGTATTGCATTAAAATAAAGTAACGAGAGGAACGTCGCCCAACGTAGTGAAGTAAATGTAGCCTACTTTGTTACTACCATAGACGGTTACTACCATAGACAGTAAGTTAGTCTATACCCACCTCTGTTGGGCGCAGAGTTAACGGTCACGACAATGCTCTTCTTCTGTTGTTTGTTTACACTATGTATAAAACACTGGTATCCTAGATCGCGCAGGAGGGGGTTTCATTCATGTTAGTGGCACCTTGTGTCCCTGACAGGAAAATACCCTGCTGTGCGATCTAGGACAGTAGGGCGCGCCGTCAATTATGTCACATTGGAATTGCGCGAAAATATAACGAAATTCGAATAAGCAATTTTATGATCGAATTTCGAACGCAGTTCGGCTATTCGAAGATCGCGACTCATCCCTAATATATATATTTATATATATTAGGGGTGGAACGGTACACAGAAGTCACGGTTCGGTTCATACCTCGGTTCAGACATCACGGTTCGGTACGATTTCGGTATGGAGGGAAAAGCAAAACAAAAATGCAGAAGGCATTGTATTTTTTAAATAAGTTTTATTAATAAAGGCATAGAACCAGTTTATTCGTAGTGCACTGACAATAGTTTTATATAATTCGTTTATTAATTAAATTAATAAAAAGACAAAAAGACCTTGCGATATGTTTGGTAATTGTACCTGAATTAATTTAAAATTAATTTGCTATATTTCAGATAAATATATTTGTTTTCCTTAATTTTAATTAACATTATTAATTAACAATGTAACATTATTCTCATCTGAATTATAAATAATTGATTTCTGTATAAAATAATACTACCATTAAAAACGCATTCGATTTTCTTTTTTAATCAATGTAGAATGTGTAAGATTAGTGCTCCGAGGACGAGAAATGAAAACCAATGCGATATTATGAATGTCTAAAAGATGGGGCCCACAGACTGTTTTGAAATGGAGTTGGATAAATATGTTTTGCTTTTAAAACAGTGTGTGTGTGTGTGTGTGTGTGTGTGTGTGTGTGTTTGTTTTTGTGATATATGAGGACACAAATGTGTATAATGACATGCATATTACACTGGTATTACAACTTACACGTGATATATGAGGACATTGCATGAGTCCTCATATTTCAAATAGCTTAAAAAACATAAAAAACAATGTTTTTTTTTAAATGTAAAAATGCAGCATGTCTCCTGTGATGGGTAGGTTTAGGGATAGGGGCAGTGTAGGGGGATAGAATATACAGTTTGTCCAGTATAAAAGTCATTACGCCTATGGAATGTCCTCATATATCACAAAAACAAAGCTGTGTGTGTGTGTGTGTGTGTGTGTGTGTGTGTGTGTGTGTGTGTGTGTGTGTGTGTGTGTGTGTGTGTGTGTGTGTGTGTGTGTGTGTGTGTGTGTGTGTGTGTGTGTGTGTGTGTGTGTGTGTGTGTGTGTGTGTGTGTGTGTGTGTGTGTGTGTGAGAGAGAGAGAGAGATTTTGGTTGGGTGACAGTTTTAGGTTACAGTTTGACAAGAGTTTACAGTGTGACAAAAGCACAGTGAACAAAATGACGGAGTATGTTTTTTATGTTTCCACTGTTCGATCGCGGCCGCGCCTCTCTCTCTCACACACAAACACAAACACACACACTCCAGCATTGCAATCTTGACATCGCAGCCTGTTCATTATGCGGTCACACCAAACACGAATAGAGCGTTAAATTCGCGTCTAGTTCGACGCTAGTCCAAAGCGAATAGGACGCGCGTATAAAGCCAACGTTTGAAGTGAACGCGCGTTCAGAGCTAAACCGATGGTACAGATTATGTGTCCCTAAAGAACCCGCGTATCTAACGGTAGTTCCGCATTACATTAATTAATTTTCACGCGAGTTTTATTTATTTTTATACCGTGTATTCTCCGTGTAAATTCGTGCACCGAACCGTGACGCCCGTACCGTTTCGGTTCGGTACGAATACATGAACCGTTCCACCCCTAATATATATAAAAAATCAATAAATATCTCTTGCCTTCATCTTTGATTTATTTTTTCACTTGGCAGAATGCATTGTGGGACTGCCTTCACCCTGAAGCATACATACAACGCTGCCTTATAATTTGGCATATTGCTGCCTATCTTTAGGAACAGCCTGCACAACTGTGATGCCTAAAATGCTACCTACGAAGACAGCTCACTAGGTTTTGGGACAGCAACATAGCCAATAAATAAAAACTTACATCTTTGCAGGCTGCAATCTGGTTGATAAATTCTCCATCAGTGAATATGATGTTCTGTCCATCTGCTTGTAGACCTGAGAAAGAGAGAGCGAATTTTAAAGAGAAAATTTGAAAGTTTTACAGTTTCAAATTACAGTCCAAATTACAGGAACATTCAGTTTTAGGCTAGTCACAAACAATCTTTAGAAGATCATTTTCTTTAAATAAATTACTTTGAATAACCACATAATATATCTAGAGCTATACAGAGGCATACAGTTATATAGAAAGCTATTGGCTATTCAAGGGGGAAAAAAATTAAAGCCCTTGGATTTGTCCTGTTTTAATATAGGAAACCTGTCAACACAGGGAAGAAAAGTGTGCTTGTCAAGCCATTTATTTGCCCTGCTCTTAGCGATCAATAGCACATAAGAGGGGTGTTTGTACCCGGCATTGTGATGGTGCCCTCCTGCTCCAGAGTCTCTGGGTTGATCTTAATGGCTGCCATGCTGTGACTGTTCATGTCTCGATAGAGCAAACAACCCTGTAAAGCAAACCACCACAAGAAACAAGCTTTTGTAAGGCAGTTCAATGAATGACATTTTAGTTGTTCACAGAGGTTCAGGGTTGAATACGTCATAAGCACGTAATGCTTTATTTAGGAGATACGATCAAGCTTTCAAACCTGTATCAAGTACTACACACTGATTACGTTGGCGTTATACAAGCAGACAGACAATCAGAAGAAACGCTCATAAAACAAGGTCAATACCTGGGCGAATCCCAGCCATGACCTTTTCTCTTCACGGTTCCTGATACGAGATGTGGAGTTGTACACATGGCCCTGCAATCGATAGCCTCTTATTAGCACCCGCACAAACACAATGATAAACAACTTGCTGCCTCAGCACAAAACCAGATCCACGACTTCACAAATCTCAGAACTGTCCGATTCTGGAGAAAAAAAATGGTCAAATTTCTCTAATCTATATCAATAGAAAGTAAATGAAACTAACAAAACATAATAACTTATTACTATCTAATTACTAGTGATGCACCAAAATGAATTGTTCACCCAAATACCAAAAATTCACCCAAGTTTTCACTTGACAGAAAAATTAAACCGAAAATAAAGTTAATTTAATATTCAATTAATTAACTGAATTTACTTAATAATTAACACTCAAATAAAAAACTGAATTCTTTTCAGAAAGAAGTGAAAAAATATATATTTTCAGTTGCCAGAATTTTGGTGCATCACTATTAATTACTAAATGGATTACAGAACTACTTAACGGTAATTTAGTCTGAAAATTTGCTTGGCAAAATAACTTCTTTTATTTCCAATGGGTGATCAGGTAAACATAAGATGTCCTCACCCGCACGGTGCCGCTGTACCCTGAGCCTACTTTGTAGAGACCGTCCTTGCAGAGCAGGTAGAGGAAGGAACCGTCTGTTTGAAGTAGACAGCGTTCGTCTTCATCGATGTTCACCTCCTTCAGAACCCATTTGTTCATCAGCGCGGCCCGCTTAATGCCGTTTCCGAACCATTCCTGGATCTGGATCTTTCCCACCAGCACCGCCTGCACACTCCTTTGTAGTGCGTTCAGGATTGTTGGGACCTTTTTGGTGCACAAATACAATCGGGTCAGATCTTGAACATACAGTTGAGCATTCTTCACTTAAAGGGATAGTTCACCCAAAAATGAAAATTCTGTCAGTATTTACTCACCCTCATGTTGTTCCAACCCCGTAAGACCTTCGTTCATCTTCGGAACACGAATTAAGATATTTTTGATAAAATCTGAGAGCTGGATCACTCCTCCATACTAGTCCATAGGCTTCTTCAGGGATTGAACTTGCCGGCCTCGAAAAGTTATTAAAGACATCGTTAAAATAGTCCAAGTGACTACAGTGGCTCAATCTTAAGTTCATCAAGGGACGAGAATACTTTTTGTGCGCAAAAAAAAAACGACTTTATTTCAACTATTCATTTCCTTCTCTTTGGGCCTCTAGTCAGTTAACGTAGTGTGATTCCGTAGAGCTACGTCACACGTAGGCTCACTATTGGCCGACGCTGGTCATGTGCATGATGCGTGTGACGTACAACAACAGAAGCTTACGCTATTACACTAGTGAACTGACTCGAGGCCCACAGAGAAGGAAATGAATAGTTGAAATAAAGTCGTTATTTTTGTTTTTTTTGCGCACAAAAAGTATTCTCGTCGCTTGATAAACTTAAGATTGAGCCACTGTAGTCACTTGGACTATTTTAACGATGTCTTTAATAACTTTTCGAGGCCGGCAAGTTCAATCCCTGAAGAAGCCTATGGACTAGTATGGAGGAGTGATCCAGCTCTCAGATTTCATCAAAAATATCTTAATTCGTGTTCCGAAGATGAACGAAGGTCTTACGGGGTTGGAACAACATGAGGGTGAGTAATTACTGACAGAATTTTCATTTTTGGGTGAACTAACCCTTTAATTTGGACAGAATACTGTACTAAAATACTCTGACAGGGTTTCCCACACCACTTTTGAGCTTGGGTTTGAATTGATCATGGAGAAACTAGGCAGCACTCAATCATACAAAGACAATAAATAAACAACATAATCTTTATTTTATGATTTCCTCACTAGTACATGCAAAAACAAACACAGCGTGACCAGCAGTGTTGGGGAAACAACACTACATCCTACAAAAAAATACTACTTGCGTTACTTCGTTGCTTTTTATGGAAAGTATGGTACGCATGTGTTTCGTTTCTTTTTCTCACTTGGGATGGGCTTGCTTGTTTGTTTATATTTTTGGTAAATGTAAAGGCCCTTTCACGCCAAAAGTGAAATGGCCTAAGGCTAAATGCAAATTCATGCCGGAACAGTAGAGGGTGCAGCTTAAACAAACCTTTCAGCTGTACTGACATTCTAGAATGCAAATGAATAGGACTACTGCTGTATCAAGTCATTTTGCTTATGGTTGAATTAGATAATCAAAGGTCAGCAGCCAATACATTGGTTAATAAAACAAGATAAAATACATAAGTATATTTGTGTAATTTAACATTAAATCTTTGCAGTTTGCCTGATATTCTGAGTTTGCTTTACACTGTTTTGATTCATTTTGAGGGATACTGAATTTGTTTTTGAGCAAGTGAGATGAGTAAATGCCTGCTCACATTTAGTCTAGAACTACAATAACCATCATGTTTTGACAGCGCACACAACACGTCTACGCAGGAGAGGTGTCGGTCAATAAATGGACAAACAAAGTAACTTGTGTTACTTATTTGAAAAAGTAACTCAGATATTTTGTCAGTTTAAAAGTAATCAATAACTTTACCAGTTACTTGAGAAAGGTAATCTGACTACGTAACTCGCGCTACCCCCAAACACTGGTAACCAGCAGTTCAATTTGTTCTTTTTCATGGAAGAAATTAATGACAGTTGACAGGGAAAAGAAGAGAGGAAAGAGTGAATCACTCACTGCTTTTGAGTGACACATTTTTGTATAGCTTTAATAAGGATGATTCTATATTTAATTAATACAGTGTAGATTTCTTAAATACTTATGTTAGAACTACCCGTTTACATGTCTTTAATCATGTTTGAAATATATATTAGATAGGCTAGTTAGTTTTTGCTGTGGTATCAAAATTGAAATCAAGAATTGTGACATTTCACTGGTAGCATATCTAGAAATGTTGGTGTCTAATTAGAATGCAAGAATACATGGGTCAGAAAAACAACAAAAAACATCACAACAATTACTTTTTTTGTGGAGGAGTCAATGAAAATGTCGGCAGGGCAAGGACAAAATCTGAACCACTAGCCCAAGTGAAAAGAAAAATCCTGGAATCGATCAAAATAATGTGTCCTTTGTTTGAATCAGTCTAATGACTCACTCACTGGCTGAATCAGACTGACATGACTCACTCACTGAAGTTTTGTTTTTCGAAATGAAAGAGAACTGCCACTGTTATTGTTATAGGCTTGTGAGACTTAAAAGAGTGTAGTTACTGACTGGTTGTTCATGTGATTATGTGGAGTTACACCGTCCCCTACCAAACCTCTCTGCACCATTTGACCTTTACCAGTCCATTCACAAGGACAGTAGGCCCCCCTTCATCCATCTCACATCATATCCCCAGGACACATTATTTTCCCTGTTTAATATTTATGTTGATCTTTCTTTAACAAAACCACTGTGTCTGTCCTCACCCCACCACAGAGTTCAGCCGGAGGTAGTAAGGAGGTACTTTGATGAATGATGCTACACAGGACAGAGAGGTTTATTGATATACTAAAACATCAATGTTATTGCTTTAGATGCTCTACAGTCAATTCAATAATGACATTTAGTTTTATTGCACTACACTTCTCTGTTCTTTACCAAAGACTCAAGTCTTACATTAGGACAGGGCCAGCTACCTTACAATGCAATACATGCATTATTTCCATAATTCTTTTCAAACTATCCATGTCAGTATATCGATTCCAATCCCAGATTCAACTATCCATTCATGGAAATCCCCGTTTCTTTTTTCACGTAGAAAAAAATAATAAGTATGTTTGTTTGCTACTATGTAATGTTATATTGGTGCATATAAATGAAAATGATTAAGTATTGTTTGTTCCTAAAGTATATTTAATGAAAAAAAGTCATTAAAAGTGAATCTACTGGGCAACAACGGCTGTTTGGTTGAAAGGATGGTGTTTAATATATAAATGTGTGTAAATAATTGTTTTTTAAAAGTAATAAATAAAAAAATAAAATATGTTTAAGCCATTTCTTAGCAACACATATGAAAAATATAATCCAGCTCTACAAAGCACTTGATCAGAATATACACAACAGCCTTTGCTTGTTTTTCACTTTCATTCTGAATCACTTCAAGTTGGACTTGTGCACTGTGAACTGACAGAGACGGATCAGATATCACACTTTACACAAGCTATGCAAGTTACTCATGCTCCAATTAGGTTGTAGTTACCTTGGCAACAACAAATGAACTCTTGAGTTTCTCTGATGTCTAAATCAGTTTGTGATATTGTCAGAGCATTAAGACATTTAAATGGCAAAAAAAATGGCATATCATGCAGACGGCAGAAGACTGAGGAGGAGTAATTGGCTGAGGGACTCTGCGCTGGCAGAGTAATATAATAAAGACGGGAAATCGGAGGGATTTGACATTTTCAGGCAATCCGATTGTTGACCTCCAAATGCAGTTGCAGTTACGGCTAGCGCATACTGAGAGATGAGCGGTAATGTGCTGTCATCCTGACTTCAGATGAACAGCAGCTTTTTATGCAGTCTAAAATCTCAACCTCACTTACCAAGCAAGAAATCCACTAAACGGATTAAAAAAACGGACTGAAATAAATCAGTAACATTGTTAAAAATAAACGTAAAGTACTCTTCTTAAAGGAGTAGTTCACTTTAAAAAAAACTTTTGCTGATAATTTACTCACCCCCATGTCATCCAAGATGTCCATGTCTTTCTTTCTTCAGTCGAAAAGAAATTAAGGTTTTTGATGAAAACATTCCAGGATTTTTCTCCATATAATGCACTTTGCTGGGCACCAAACTGTCCAAGGTCCAAAAGACAGTTTCAGTGCAAACTGCAAACTGTTCAAAGGGCTTTAAACGATTCCAGACGATGAATAAGGGTCTTATCAAACGAAACGATCGCTCATTTAAAAAATAAATAACAAAGTTTAAGTTTTATAAGCTCAAATCCCCGCCTTGCTCTGTTCTGTGTGACTCTCCTGTTCGAACTCGTTCATCAAAATGAACGAATCTTTTTTCGAGTCATTTGATTCATTTAACGAACGAAATGAACGAATTGACTCGGAAAAAGATTCGTTCATTTTGATGAACGAGTTCGAACAGGAGAGTGTCTTTTGGACCTTGAACCGTTTGGTGCCCAGTAAAGTGCATTATATGGAGAAAAATCCTGGAATGTTTTCATCAAAAACCTTAATTTCTTTTCGACTGAAGAAAGAAAGACATGGACATCTTGGATGACGTGGGGGTGAGTAAATTATCAGCAAAAGTTTTTTTTAAAGTGAACTACTCCTTTAAGTGTGGTTCCTTAAAGGGATAGTTCACCCAAAAATGTCAGATTCTGTCATCATTTACCCACCCTCAAGTTGTTCCAAACCTGAATTTTCATTCCTGTACATTTTTGGGGGAACTAAACCTTTAAGAAAGGATGCAGAGCAATAAGTGCTACAGACAGCCAGAAAAAAAAATAACACAAATGTACAGACCTCACCACATTTTTAGCAGCATTCAACTCGTCTTCAGTGTCACGTGATCTTTCAGAAATCATTCTAATACACTGATTTAATGCTCAATGCAATCTCAAAACTTTCCCTCACCTGGATGGTCTGGCATGCATGACTGCCATTGTTGGTGAGGATGGCAGACACAGCCTGGAGGGTTTTGCCAGTGTCTCCCCAGGCCACCACAAGGCTGAAGAGGCAGGCACAGGATAACGCAGTGAGGGTCTGACCGGTGGGATCGTTCATCCCTGTGCTCCGCACCGTTGTCTCCAGCAGAAGATGGAAGAGAGACTCTGCAGGTCCAACCAACAGTGGTTTCATGATTGAAATATACAGATTCACTTATACAAATTCACTTACCATTTTATATGACGAGGAGAAAGTATCTTACCCAGCACATCTGGAGGTTCAGTCTGAAAGCTCTCCGGCTGTTGTCCCTGGAGCATATCTAGAAGGGCCTGAAGGCTCCGTAAGCACAGTGACGGGTGCGAGAAACGAGTCTCCTTGATGAGCTCGAACACTCCACATAGCCCAATACCAATGATCTGAGGAGCAGAAGAACATAGCTGAGATATAACATTCATCGATTTCAAATATTATTCCCAGTGCACACAGATTTACCAGATTACTGAGTGTACTGCTAGTTACAGTATAACTTATTTTTCATTCATATTTTTAGCAATTTCTTTATATGTGAAAAATACTATATTAGGATTACATAAAGAAGTTGCAATCTAAAGTATAATTTTTCCATATTAATTTTAAAATTATTTATTTCTAATATATTAAATATGATGTGATTATGTGTTTTTAATATCTTTAAATTAAATAGTGTTATATCATATAAATCAGCTTCATATAGACCACCCTGCTCTCTAACATATCAGCATCAGCCTTAAAAAAAAAAAATCAATCACGATCAACCACTAGCAAGGCTTGACATGAACTTTTTTGCTCACCAGCCACTGTAACTAGTGGTTTTCCAAAGTTACTGGCCACAATTTTGACATCGATACCACGGAGGAAAACTGCCAAATAGGTATTAGCTCATAATTTGGCACCAGGTATATTAGGCTGCTGTCACTTTAAGACCTGACGCACGGATCCATTATACTGTTACACGTTTTATTTCTTTAACTGTTTAGGTCCACTTAAAGGCCAGGACACACCAAGCCGACGGTCAGCCATCGGCGAGCGTCTGTCGGGCTAGTTTTTGCGGTGTGTTCCACATGTCGGCGGCAGTTTGCCCGATTCAGCATGTTGAATTGGCGTCGGGCCGTCGGTGAGAGTGGGAACTCTGATTGGATGTTCAGTTTAGCGAATGAGTCAGTGCATGAGAATACAAGCGAAAGTGATGAAAGAGAGCAAGTAGGTCAAAAGACAGTGCAGACAGAAGGCTGATCTAATGTTATGTAGGGGTGACCCCGAATAGTCGAAGATTCGATGCTTCGATAGGAGGAGCCTGATTCGACTACCAATCTCACGGTCGAATCTTCGCAGATGTGTTATTAAACGAGGATTATGTCATTTTGGCTATATGGGTGTGCTCAATGTCTGATTTCACATAGAACTACTGGTTTTCTGTCAATACGTTAATATACAGCCTATTATGATAATGCTGTCAATAAAAATGTGCAAAGAAAGAAGCTTTTAATAAATATTTTTTTAACGTGCGTGCAGCGTGAATAAATCCAAACACCCCGTGACAGATTTAAGTTTCACTTTCGATCCGTGACCGACAGAGGAGCGTCTTGTCGGCAGGGATTTAAATCTTTAAAAATGTCTGGGATAAGAAAATCTAAAGGTGCACACCATCAGAAAGGATATTCTCCAAGGCTGGATTTAGCATCAGGAAAACCATGATCGCACTTCTGCCGAACAACGTTAACAGGTTGGTTTTCCTTGGGACGTTCTAAAACGCTTAACGTGAAAAAAGCTTTTAAAACGCTTAAATTGCACTTTTACGTGCTTAATGTACACAGTAGGCTACACACCTTAAGAAACCATTCTATGTGCAGATAAGCAGATGAACCCAGAATATGAACGCAACGCGTTTCTCCTATAGAAAGTCACGTAAAGCTTTTTCTTTAACGGTTTTCTATGGGAGGAAAATGCTTAACGTAGCCTATAATAAAACGCGTTGCGTTCATATTCTGGGCTCATCTGCTTTTCTGTAGGCTATATAGTATCCTTTATTAATAAGGTGTGTACAGAATTTGATCTTTTAATATAACAGTTTTAGGACAAAGCCGTTAAGCGTTTTTCACGTTAAGCGTTTTAGAATGTATTTTATCCGCGCACACAATTTGAAAAGACTCAAACGGACACACAGCTGAAAGACTGGATTTTGTTTTTTTCGACCAGGTATGGGTACAAGTGATTTTGAAAACATTTCAGCCGGTTCTAATTTGATTTTTGGATACTGTGAACACGTTTAGCTAAAAAGACTGCCGCTCCAGTTTAGCGTTTATTGTTGTTTCTGCAGTTAAAAAGACAAAGTTGACAATCCTGGCCATACTTTCGTTATTTTAATAATTTCTTTATTTTTATTTTATTAATTGATCACTCAGGGTGATCTAATTTAACTATTTTAGAGCATGCTCGTAGGCTACAGGCAATTCAGCCGATTTAATTTGATTTGCATGTGAAATGCAAATCCTATCTGCAGTGTGGCCTTTCTGCAGTTATTTATGTTATTTCTTAGTTTTATTGATCCAAAATGTTTTTATACATTTTCTTCTATATCTTTGTGTGATGTTCTGTACATCGCGGCTTTAAAATGTTAAAGCCCCGCCCCCTCCCCGACGCCACACACATGATTCGACTATTAGTCGACTATAGGCAGGACTTGACGAATCTGATTCGACTATGAAAATCCTCAGTCGGGGACACCCCTAATGTTATGTTACCCAAACATTCCAAAACGCGAATATTTTCATAACAACATGAGCCGCATAAAATGAATAAAGTTCTGAACATAACTGTCTGATATTCAAAATGCTAAGCAAGTACTGCTTTGATTAGGTTTCGTATATCTGCGTATATCGTTGTTACGGTTTGTCCTTTTGAATGGCGAATATAGACTATTGATACCTGCTGACATAAACAGTTAATTCCTTACACGCAGGCACAGAACGCACATGCTAGTTTGCAGTCGGCTGTAGTCTGTGCTGTGTTCAGCTTTTTGGTCCAGACGCAGCCGACGCGAGGCGACAACACTATCGGTTTCCGTCGCCGCTGGTTCTTTGAAGTCGGCTTGCTTGGTGTGTCTTAAACGCCACTGCTGAAATACACCCGCATCTGATAGGTGTTAATGTCAAGCCCTGACCACTAGTGTTTTTACTTCTATAAGTCCATCATGCTCACTCTGTAGGAACATTAGGTCAAGTAATACTGAAAAAGTGAAAAAAATTATCATGTGGATTATTCAGTATAAAACCATCATCACGCAACAGAAAAGGCCATATTTGAATTCAATGACTGGAAAAATCTATTACTAAAGCAACAATGTTGTGCCGTGAAGAGCATATATGGTTTACTTTGACTGAAAAAGAATAAACAACTGGTTGTCCATGTGTTTGTTGTTAAACTGACTTTTAATACAGTGTTGCCGTTTCACCTAATGGGTTTATGGGAGAACCAGCATGTAGAACATTAGGATCACATGAGAATGTAAGTAAATGTGACCATGCCTCTTTTATCTAAAAATGTGGTTAAGATTTCGATCTTGCGGTTTAGCATATCTTCAGTGACCGTATTGCAGCTGTGAACATCTACCAGTATATTTTAATGAAGGAATCTTTGGGAAGTTTCTTTGTTTGTTTCTAAAAGTGCTTCCTTCTTGTTATAAGACACTATGTTGGGCTATCATAGCAAAAGGCCTGCACTGGTTCATCTTTCAAGGTCATCATCTAAAAAAAGGAATTTGTGCTTTGTCCTAGAACATCTGAGAGAAATAAATAAAAAAATTATACTGTGTAGCGTCTCTCAAGGTTTGGATATTAAATAAGCCCTCCATCTAAACTCTATGAATAAAATACCTGTCCTTTAATACAGAAATGTGTTAGTGAATCACAACACCTTGACAATTTACACATCTTAAAATAAAAGGCATCAGGATGTCACACAATAGAATGTTTAACATAGTCTTGGGTCCAATCTGAATATTAATTTCTAGATCTTGAAACTAGCTTGCTGAGTTTTTGCCAACAACTCATTTTTTGCCAAATCTGACTGCAGGGTTTGTGAGACTTTAATCAGTGTAATTACTGACTAGTTGTTCATTTGATAATCCGTAGTTAAAGACAGACGTTCACAGATTTTTGTGGTATGATGATTTAAAATAAAAAAATTGTAGTGCAGCATTTTGTTTATTATATAGTAAGGACCTTGTTTTTAGTAAAAAAGTGCTAAGAATTGTCAAGGTCAAGTTTATTTCTAGAGCACATTTAAAACAACAGAAGTTGACCAAAGTGCTATACATCCAAAATCATACAATAAACAGCACAAATAAAATGACAACGAGAAGACAAAACACACAGCTCTCAGACTGAAGTAAAAGCCAAGGAAAATAAATATGTTTTAAGACTAGATTTAAAAGCGGAGAGTGTTGGGGCCAGCCTCACAGACAATGGTAAATTATTCCATAATTTAGGGGCCGCAACTGAAAAGGCTTGATCTCCCCTATTTTTAAGCCTTACTCTAGGGACAGCCAAGAGCATGCAATCTGCCGACCTAAGCGACCTCAATGGAACATGTTTTTGTATAAGGTCAGAGAGGTAGGTCGGGGCTAGACCATTTAAGGATTTATGAGCAAACACTAAAATTTTTGTCAGTGGAATCATTAAAAAAACAGAAATGTTCCTTAAAAATTTAATTAAATTTCTTGCTATTCCCATCCCTAAGCACATTTCCTTCTAGGTTGTAGCCTAAGCATGAGATCTTTGAAGTGGAGATTGGAATTAATCAGCCACCCATCGGTTTCATCGGTGAAACGGGGAGCAAGAAACATGAAGAGAACAAAAAAAAAAAAAGTCTGTTGTTTTTAAAGAAACAAATGACATAGTAAACTTCATGAGCAAGTAGAAATTACTCAAACTCTAACTGGCCAAGCTAAATTTACATATTCTCTTTGTTAGTCATTTTTCTTTTGCAGCACAGAAATATGCGGCATCTTCTAGACATGTACAACACGAACCGACTACATTGTTTGAGGGCGGGTCAAAGTAAAGCAGCAAAATTATGCTGCCTGCTAACACTGTGTATCTGGATGCAAGTGGCGCGACGCAACAAAAGCAAATAGAGTCTATAATATTCAGTGATTCTGTCTACACTGGATGCAGACAACAACAGTAAATCGATGCTATTTCTAACGTACTCCATGTCACTGCGCTACTTCTACTTAAAGCCTCGAGCTGTTGCAGCGTGGCAAGATGTCGATGCGACAACGTCACACCCAGTGTAAGATAACATTGCAAAATTAAGAAAATCATTTCTAGTGTAAAACGGAAAAAAGCCTAGACTAATTTAATTCGATGCTAAAGTTTTGATCACGACCACCAAAGAATCTCAAATATTTAGAACACAGCAGTTTATTATTATGATATATCACTGCAGTTATCATAAAAATAAAAAAAAAAGGCATAAACGGTGCAACAAAAAAATATGCTTAATCATGAACGATAGAACTAAACCACATGATTGGGCTTCGTGTATGCATTGATGTCACTCACTGACCTTCGGCAGTTTGACGGCGGGTTCGCGATACTCCTCCTCTTCCTCACTGTCTGAGTCGCCGCTCTGCACAGAGCTCCGGGAGGCCAGGGCCAAAACGGCTTCCTTCTGCTGCCAGTCCAGCACGCTGTGCCGTACATTACAGTAGACGTTGAACGCAGAGGGGTTGCTGTGGAGTTTGATGTCAGGCACTGGAAAGGCCCCATCCAGAGTTTCTGTCTGCCAGACGATAAAAATACATACAGAATTAGGAGCGATACATAAGGAGGGAGGAAGGGAGAAATGAAGAAATATTGTGAGACAGTAGGTTATGATGCATGTAGTACTACAGGCCTTGGGGAACACAGTACTTCATTGATTTTTATAAGGCAACGAGAAATGCTACTGTTTGTAGATCTATATATATACACAAAATAAAACATAAAAACACCACACCTTCATTATCATCTGGCCTAGGTAATACTGTTTACTGTCTTATTACAATCAAATTATTTTATGTATTAGGGGTAGCCTGCATTACCAAAGACTTTACAAGTAATTTTACAATATTGTATATTAAATATATAGGCGGCCTATACAATATTACTATACAATAAATTCTAAATATTTTATACACACATATATCTATATATATATAATATTTAATATGACGAGTTTGCGAGCTTCAGAGGAGTGCACACACACAATCTTCTCACAGCGCACGTGAGTTCTCATTCGCGTCTTCTTGCTCTTAAATGTTTAAATTGGCAAGGCTTAAATACGTTTAGTTTAAACAGACAGCAACAACGGTCTCACCTGCACTCGTGCACTATTAATTATTACTATATTAACATCCGGGGGATGAACAGCGTATATGACTGGCCATATTCATTCGTAATTTTATCATCGCTGTTGTAACGTATTGGGAATGGGAACCCAGAATGTGAAACCCATCATCAGAAACATGCATTATGTCTGTCTGTCTTACACATTGTTATTTTCAATAAACCATATTATAGATGCGTGTCAGATTTAAGAACTGTGAGCCCAACCGTGTGTCAATTTGTCAATTTGTTTCAGACAATGTAATAATTTTCTCTTCAAATAGTGAATAACACACATGTTGAGATGTTTCTTCATTGCTATCACTTGTAAATAACGCAAAGCAGTTCTGATCACTGGTAATCGCATGGATACATCAACCGTAGTATAAACAATACAGCAAAACTGTACAGCATATTCCATCATACTATCCATCCCTATAATACAGCTAACGTTTTTGTCCCATTCATCAATACATCCCCTGATAGGCTTAACTCATAAATTTATCTTCATTTTTGTCCATCTGCCGATAACAAAGGGTGATGTAATCCAGAGAAGGTCATTCATTTTTAGGCGGACACCACAAAGAAATCTACCCCCCTGTGTTTGGCCAATGACATCAGACATCTGAAGTCAGTAGGAAGCCACACATCTATGAGCCATGCCTAGTACCCCAATACAGTTCCAAGGGCTGTGTGATTAATCGTAATTCATTTTTCAATTTCGATTTTGGCTTCCAACTATTATAAAAACAAGATAATCGATGCAAAACTATTATTGCGCCACTACCATTCCTTCCCGTACATTGAGTGCATCTTCCTTTCCTTCACAGCGGTGCACTTTTGTTCCTCCCTAAAAGCCCAAACTTGACAACCAAAAAGAGATACTGTTCCTAGGAGGCCTCCTGAGCGCGCTCCGTGACGGGGATAGAACGCGAATAAGCAAAGTACACTGTGGGCTTCAGATATGTGCCTAAACGGTCTGAAAATAGCCTAGACACAAATATGTCGAAATGCATTTTTGGTAAGTATCCTCGTAAACACAGTCGGTTATGTCTTAAGTGAATGTAAACACTGAGGAAGAGCGTGTGTGAAACAGTATATTGGATGCGTGAGTTAGATCTTAAATGGTGCTTTTCCACTGCATGGTATGGCTCGGTACAGCTCACTTTTTGGTGCTTTTCCACTGCATGGCCAAGCGAGCCGTACCGATACTAAAATGTGACGTGTAAACACTGCAGATCACTGATTGATCAGAGAGACTTGTCACTACCAGCATTATTGGATTTGCTACACGAGACACTAAACCAGAACAAACAAACTTGCCGTGAAAAACATCCAAATGCCGAGAATCAAGAACACCATTCTATCGATATGCTCCATTGCTCCTGTGTTGTGCGTTTGTTTGTGTCGCGTTTATGATGATGTCACAGCAGTAGAGGCGGCGCAACTATAACAATCTGTCTATAATCCCACCCACTTTAAAGTGGTACTAAACTGCAGTGGAAAGGCAAACCGAGCCGAGCCAAGCCGAGCCGTACCATGCAGTGGAAAAGCGCCAAAAGTGACAACAGCATAATAAATCTGCTGCAGTCGTTATTGCTAATCAAACTACAAAAGACAAAGATAAAATCATTCACTGCTCTTGAATTAATAAACTGTAGTTTTTATAAGGATTAGTCTATATTTAATGTATACAGCAGTGTTATTTTAAATTTGATCACTTTATTTCATTTCTTTTGTAGGCTATTACTTAGCTGAATATCACTGTTAGTACATCTTCCTGATTTAAAAAAAAAAAGTTTATTTAATTTGTATTTTTGTTCTGTTGTATTTTTTCTGTTGTTTGTAATTTCGTTTATTTGTTCTTATTGTATAGCTGACTGTTTACTGTTTTGAGGACTTTTACTTACATTATTTAACCTAGTAACAGGTAAAACCTCACTGCCATGGTAACTGTTTCTATGGTATTTGTAAGGAAACACCGTAGCCTAAAGACATGTAGTATAATACAAATCACAAAAACTGATATAGCTTAGTAACCAGTAAATCCAGTAAATATATTACATTACTCAGTAAACAGGCTACATTTAATGTCTACATTAATAATATAATAATACTCTATATGAATATCCCACATTTCTGCCATAATACCATGGTTCAAGTTTAAATCCATGGTGGTTTGTGGATTGAAAAGCCTTCAAACTGGACCGTTGTGGCTTAATGTTTCTCCTGTTTTCTGAGTCAGTGTTGTTGAGAACATCAGCGCTATTTTATCTTGATTTGTATGGTTTGTACAAACTCGAACTCGTTTGCACCGAACTCGAACGCTTTTCACTAGATCTAACAGTGATCCTGTTAGTCTCACAGTTTGCGTGTGTGTGTGTGTGTGTGTTTGAGTAATATATATTTGTGTAAAGACATGACCTGTTACGCTTATGACAGAAAATTGCAATAAAAGACACTAGCCTCAGAAAGCAGCCCTGAGAACTAGCGACAGAAGTACTGTGCTCACTGCTCACCAAAGAGGACTTCTGCTGTTTCTTCCCCCAGACTCCAATGCCATTTGTCCATTCAATAACAATGCAATCAGCCACATACTGAGCAAGTTACCAAGGGACTAAAGCACTTGGAAGAACAACCTTTAACAAAACCATAATTGAGCAATGTAAGGAAAGGAGATGATCCTTTGTAGCTGTACAACGAGACAATACAGAATATAGACCTAATGGCCAAAGAACAGACAATAAAGTCTAGTATATGAGCATGAAACAGGAGGGGATGTTTCAAATGACCACATCAGTTGTGGTTAACTGCTACCTCAAGAAAGAAAATGTCTGTACCATTCTATTCTATGTACGTTCCGTTGTATCAAAGACATCGTTTTGGTGGATACATTTTATCCTGCTGCACTGTGTCACCTATTCTGGTCTGCGAGCAACATTTGGTGACTTTTAGCTGTAACAAGAGGCAAACCATGGTGCAAGAACTTAGCTAAATAAAACACTGAGGGGCCTGAATTTTGTATTAAGAATGAGAAAAGCCAGTTGTCTGTTCAAAGGTACATGAGTCAGTATACAATTTACCCTCAAGTCCCACCACTGAAAGGTCAAGAGCTAAATAATATCGGCTTCAAGAAAACGGTGGCGAAACGAGAATAGCTAGTTTTAAGATCACCCTTGCAAGTATAAATGTTACAAACTAAGTTTCATTATAAGTTAGGGATGTAGGGCTGTAACGATTCCTCGATTAAATTAGAGTACTCGATTTAAAAAAATCCTAATTTTCAATTTACTCGTGTCGAGTAACCAGTAAAATACCAGAAGTGGCAGATTCCAAGGACGAGAATCCATGAACTGCATTATTAGATCGTTTTCTAAGGCTGCACTATGTAGGCCTATTACATTTAAAAACCATGCTATAGCATAGTGCTATTGTGAATTCGCAAAGGCTACGATTCAATGAAATAAATATATATGCACTTTAATTATTTACATGCGGCTCTGATTCACAGTAAATACTGCTTCACGTGAACTGTTATCATTTACATGCTGGAGCTCAAACTCCATCTCTGCATATGCTGTGAGTTTGGGTTGCTTATAACGTTCATCTGGGAAAGCAATGTGTGCCATTTCATCAGATTTGTAACGTAAATTATTTACAAACCTACACCAACACAGGAGAATACATCCTATGCGTTTCTAAATATGCAAACTGTTCATCACGATTTCAACATAAAAGTTTAAACCCTCGCTCATGTTTTAATGTCCATATATTCTTATTCAAAAAAAAAAATGTGGATGTAGCATTTCTATCGTAAAAAAGTGGCCAAGTATTAAAGATTAAGTTAACATTTGAATTAAATGTAATTTGGCCAATATTAAATAAGGATTTGACCTATTGTAAAGTGGGACAACAATAACAGGTCGTTGGCGCCCTATATAGGCATTTGTTATAATACGTAATAGGGATGAACCGATACCACTTTTTCCATAACGAGTCTGATATTGATACTTTTTTTTTTTTCTTTCCGATTTAACAAAACAAAAGGTTACAAGTATACTAGGTGAACATAACAAAAAAGAAATTAAAAGGGGACACATACAAATATACAGTACATACACATATAGACATAAAAAGGACATTAGGATAAGTTACATGCATGGTTACACTGTTACAAAATGCGTTTAAAGAAAACCAACATGTTTCTATTTCATACTCTGTGATAGTTGTATAGTATTGGAATGCAATGAGGAATCAGGCATCTATAGAGAAGGAATAGAGACCAACCCTGGTTGAAGATATCGAGTTTAGATTTTACAGGTGCTGCAAGTTTCTCCATATTGCAATGTGTTGTTAGGAGACTGAGGCAAAAGTTACGTGTATTTTCACAGCATGTGTCATTTTTAAATGTATTGG